GTATTTGCAGACATTGCATTTCGCAGAAGATTCAGGGTCGAGAAGAGTGCTGTCCGGAGAACAATATAGTGAAGAGAAGGACAAGGAAATGCCGGAGATTCAGCACCGCGTCACATTGCATCTTCTCCGAAATAAAGCACGCGATCGTGGACTCGTGCACAGCGTCACTCTCGCGCCATCCCAGTATTGCGATAGGTCTTTCGACCGCAGGAGCGCCCTTTTCTTATAGCGCAGTGAATTGTGAGCTAGAAAGGACCGGTAATTGTCGGTACAAACATGCCGTTCGTGACCTGTTCAAGATTGAGGACGCAGGATATACTGCCAAACACGACGGGATACTACCCGCTGCCATACACCTCATGCCTGGGGAGTTCTGATGAGTCTGGCCACGCGAGCACCAGATTCAAGACAGACTCACTTGAGCTCAACCGTCTACCGCAGGCAGAATATCTCCGGTGGGTGCAAGATCAGCAGCACACCCCTCCACCGCGACGCCCGTCGACTTTGACACTTTCTTCCATACCTCGCGAAACTGTTGTTTTCCCTCTCCTGTCGTGCGCATATCCTCCGGTCGTCGTCTCTCCCGTCGATGTTGTCCGAGCAGTACGTGAACCAGTCCAACGTGCAGACCACCCTCTCATGATCCACCAGCTCGTCGAGGAGCTTCAGGAACACTGGCCCGCAGACGTCGCGCCCCGTGCAACCCTCGGAGAGCATCTGGGCGAACACACCGAAGGGTAGCCAGGGTGTTCGCCTGCATGAGATTCGCCCGTCCCAAGAACCACCGACCGATGTTCTCTGCCGAGAGCTTCTCGGGTTTGCCGTCCTCGCGCGTGAAGCCGTTCACGAGATCGGCCGACTTGGACATGCAGCAGCCCGTCAGGGCGGTGGGAAGTGGAAATCGATACTTGTCATATGGGCGATGTTCGCCGCACCGATCGAATGCATCCCTGGAAGGCAGGCGGGCGGGGAGGGTCAACCCGCGCCCACGTGTCGAGGTTCTCAACGAAGAACTTCTTCAGGTAATTGCGGCCGCGCCGAACGACGTAATTGATCTCGTACTTATGCCCAAGCCCGACGCACGCAGATACTGAATTGGAGGACAAATCGTCTAAAGCCACGCTGGTGAACAGTGTGACACCAGTCTATGCACAAGAGGATAAGACTAGGCTGAACGCACCTTGGCATCTCCCAAGGGAGTACGGCGCAGGGTATGTGCCTGAGGCCTTTTGATGAGTCACATACATGCACGACAGCGGGCTTGGTACCACACGTCCACTGTGAGCTTGATGTCCCGTCCGGCTGAGGTAAGGAGAGCATGTCCTTGAAGACGGGTGAATTGGCTACTGATGTCCCTTGTAGATGCATAACTCGACGTTGCTAGCGACGTTCGTCAAGTCACCGTCCTCCAGGCAATTTTGCAGTTCGCATTGAAGTAGATTATGCGCAATATCTTCCGTCGGCTTTGCAGCTGTTGCGGATTCAGCCGGACTTGGACCATCCGGCATTAGTGAATCGGAGGAGACTTTTCCGTCTACGCCGGGTCTCGGTACCACGGCTGATATCGCTTGTTAGTCCTTGTCGACCATGTCAAGTGGGAGATACGGACAGTTCCTTACGCGATGTAGACAGAAAGATCACAGGCGTTCCAGCACTGTGAAGAGAAGGAATCCGTCAGTCGTGGCGATCCGGAACGGTATTCCTAACAGGAGCCAAACGTTCCTAGAGCGCCGCCGGGCTGCTGGAGGAAATAAGCATAACGTCGTATTAGACCGTGTTGTCGGTACATGTCCGAGTGCCACAAGGCAACCTGCCGGCCGGGCTCATAGCTGTGCATTTGCCGAGACGCTCGCGTACCGACATCTCTCTGCTGTGTGAGCCGCGCGCGTACGTCCAAGTTCACAATGGGATCTTCCATTGTGCATTGGCTGTCTTCGTTCAAATTCTTGGTAATCTCCATGGGAGGCGGCTCACTGGTGGCGGAGATCGACGCAGGGTAACCGAACACCGGACATGGGAAACGCCGGCCACTGGGGATCACGACTGTCATACCGAGCATGGAACCCGCCAGCTTCTCAGCGCTGAATCAGTAGTGTTAGCAAGGTGTCGTTATTGCCGATCTCCATACAATGGAAGAGGGGAGAAAAGAATCTACATTTTGGCCTTAGATAACATCCGCCAACATCGCAATTCTGTCGCATCACAAGAAGGGGAGACACTGGTGAACATGTATCAGTGTTCAAAGACACATGTGCAACGGACAACAAGTGTAGTCTGATAAGTCTAGTACGAGTCCATGCTAATGTAACGAACGTATCCAGCCTTCGTGACACCGTGGAAGGCTTGCATCTGCGGTTCTGTCAGTACGTGCTCAAGTAAATTAGGCCGGTACCCACAGTCTCAATCGGCATGTCATAGTAGTCGAAATGATGGACTACATGGCGTAGGGGTTGGGCTCAACCTTGATGGGGATGGCAGACAAGGAACGGACAGAGTGCTTGAATAACGGATGGGGGAGAGCTCATCTGGATGATTCTCGGCGTCGGTGTATTGCCGCTCGCGGCATATGCTGGCGCTGTACATGTACAGCTCGCCGCCGGGCAGGTTTGAGAGGCGGCAGGAGTCAAACATGGCAGAACGAGCTGGGGAGCGAGAGCGTGCGCAGAGAGGAGTCGTGGCCGAGCTAGGAAACGAGAGCGTGGAAGTCGTCGGCGTGGACGCATTTACAGTGCAGTGAGTGCACCGTGAGGGACTGCACAGAGGATGCCGTGCTTGTGGTCGATACCTCGAAGGTCGGGGATGATCGTAAAAGCGCGTAGAGCTGCTTACGACTATCGCTTCGACACCTGTGCGAGAAAGGGGACGTTTGTGCGAGGAGCGCAGGAGAACAACGACGAGATGCTCCTTGGGCATGAGCTGCAGAGGCTCGACCGGGATCGCAGGTGCATAATGATACACAGCGCGCAAATGCGCAGCCTGGACCAACGCAGGCGGCGAGATGCTGCGCTTACTTTCAGTGCACGGTCGTTACAGCTGCAGCTGCAGTCCCATGCATTGTCTCGGAATCCTTCCGTTCACCCTGTTCGCTCGCTTTCGGACCGAGCTCTGTGGGCATGCGACTGTCCAAGGAGGCTCTCGGGTCTCTGCACCGTTACATACGCAATCATGGATATCTGGGGCTTCGCGATGAGCTTGTTGAAGGGGCTTGGGAAGCAGTGGACGTATGGGCCCGGCTCCTGCGAAGTGAGGGCTGCTGATTCGGATGCCATTGTCTCTTTTTCCTTCGATTGCCATGCCATCTCGAGTGAGAGCAGGAAGGGTGTCCTACGCTGTAGCACAGGTGGGCTAGAAATTCATCAATCGAAGTCGAAGACAGTTGGGCAAGCAGGTTGATGTTGCCTCGCGGCGGGAGGAACGAGCTTCTGGGAGGCGGGGATAGATTAGATAAGATTGAGATGGACTCTCGGTCCCGCAGCCGGGGCATGCCAAGCGACCTTCCTCAGGCTCTCCCCCGCCTTCTGGACAACAACGAACTATCACGACAATCCTGTTCTGCTCTCATGTCTGGCAGACTTCACGCAAGCTTGAACGGGGAGCGTATAGGGCGGCTGTCTGGGAGCTGAACGATTGGTTCGTATCTCTCTGATTGGAATCGCTCTTGGTGGCGTTTTGCTGATTCCTGCGACATTCCGTACCTGATGCGCTCTGGCACTGGCAGCTACCACATATGGTCCCTCGACTGCCCCGGACCGCCTGAAGCTTAACCTGGAGCATGTGAGGCAATATCGGCCGCGTCGGTGCACTGGAATGAGGCTGTTCAAGACGTCTTCAAGTCAGGGTGGACGGTGGAACGGTGGACGACCTGTCAATAATGTCGCTATTCGCCGAGCAGGCTCAGGGGCTGCGGGTCCTTCCCAGGGCGCACTCAGCATCCACCATCAGTCTCGCCCGACACTCGAGCGCGATCCTCATGCCTCAGCCGTAATGGAAATATAACGTTAACGACACACTCTGGGACACGCGAAGCCTTACAAAGACTATCCGAGGACGTCGTCGACGCGGTCCCACGGATAGACGGCGGTGCTTCTACTTCTGGACGCGTTCATCACGCGCCAGGATGACAGATGGGCCCTCGGAAGACTGGCATGGAGATACGTTTTGCCGTCGACCGTCCATCCGTCTGTCTGTCCGTCACCGTTCACTCTCCATCCATCCGAGCTGCCCACCGACTATCATCCCAGTCAGCACTGGCCGTCAAGAAGGATCAGGCTCTATAGTCGTCGCACTGGGTACTTGGACGGTGACCCGACCCTAGGGTGCTACCACCACCTGCTCTGCATCCTGCAATACTCGCGCCACAGCGACGATGGCGAAGACCGTGAAAAGGCTGTCGTCGTGGGCTTCGCTCGGGACGATTATCCGCGACCGCAGGGATGACGCTGCGGTGCGCACTGCTGCCGCGTTCCGCAGCGAGAAGTTTGTCCGCAGGTGTGGGTCCGAGGACGAAGGTGCCTTGCTTGCAGTGGGTTTGACGACGCCTTCTGAGTGCGGGTGGACGGCGCAGTCGTCCGAAGACTACCCGTGCTCTCCGAGCTCGTGGACGGTGCATGAAAGTGAGTGGCGTACTCAATCTCAGACAATGTGTACTCGACTTCTTTGTCGCAGAGGCTGCTATACAGACCGAGCTGGTGTTTCCTTCGGCGACTCGGACCAACTTCATCGCGGGCCTCTCGCCTGAGCTATGGGCGCAGGTCCTGGCATATCTCGACGACCATCGCGATCTTTTCCGAGTCGCGCGAGTATCTCGCGCCCTGCGCGCTACCGCGCGGGTTGCCTTGACCCGCCACACTTTCCGCGTCGAGACAACGCAGGCAGTCGTGGCCTTTTCGGACGCGCTCGCTAGGACTCCCGACCTCGCACACACCATCCATAATCTCCACATCCGCTGCGCCGACTCGCGAATACCCCCGTCTCTTCCTCTCGCTTTCCGCAAGTTGCACGAACTGCGCTCGCTATCGCTGCACGTCACCGACCCGGACCTCGCGCTCGCCTGCGTGCAACGCGGCCTTTTCAACGAGCCCCTCCCCCATCTCACCGTGTTCTCCACCTCGCTCCCCTGCACGATCGAGCTGCTCGACTTTGTCCAGACGCACGGGACGATCGAGGACCTCACCGTCACCGACGACGCGATCGACCCCGCCGTGCTGGGCCCCAAGTTGCCCCTGCCCTCGCTGCGCATCCTTACGTGTCGAATGGAGTTTCTGCAGTGCTTCAGTCGGTCGACTACGCTGACGCACTTGTACATCACGATGGATGTTGCGGGGTCGTTAGACGAGCTTGCGAGGCTGCTGGGATCGCAGCTTGTGAGTCTGCAGCTTGGGTTGGGCGAAAAGCCCGCCGGTGGGGAAGCGTGGTCCCCTGCAGAGGTGACGAGGCGATTTCCGCGATTGAGGTACCTTCAGCTGCGCGTGCTGGAACCCGACGTACGTCCTCGTCTCTATATTTCTATTCCAGACGCCACCGTACTCAATACGAAACCAGCAGTTGACATTCTGGCGGTACCCAATCGACTGGACACGCCCGCGCCATCGGAATCCTTCGCGCACCTCACCCAGCTCCGCTCCGCGCGCGGCAGGAGCGACAGGTCTTGTCCTCGCGTTCGTATTCGACTGTCACGCACCCACCGAAGGCGACTTGTCCGCGAAGTTCCACCAGACGATCGCGGGCCTGCTCCGCACCTGGACCCCTCACGTGGCGCGCGTGTTGTACGGGCACAACGGCAGACCAGACACGTCATGCGTCGTGCGTGTGAGTCGGCACGGGGAGGAGTATGTGCGGGAGAGGCGTGAGTTTGGGGAAGACTTTTGGAAGATGGTGTAGGCTTCCGCAGGGCTGTTCGATGAATGACGACTGAATGGGCAGGATTGTATAGTAAGTTATGCGCTAATTTGAATGCATTGTCTCTCGTCTTCCGCGTAGCATGGCACTCGGGTGGGGTCGTCTGCTACTTCGGTTATCGTGGTGTCCGAAGTATGGCATTGGGTCAGAATCACTCTTCTTGTACAGCAGCTGCAGCCTACTAATCAACTGTTCAACAGGGTACATACACAGGTCCACGAGCTCCACACTGCCTTTCCATAAGTTGTGCGCTCTCTTGTATGCGGCCTGCTCATTTGGGTATAACGGCCTTGTCAACTGGGCGACGTACTTGTGTCAGTTCATTCCCGCTCAGCGTATCTCCTTGAGAAGAGTCTGGACGGGGCAGTATGTGCCGTGCCGGCCGCTGAGCTAAACATGCAGGTGGGCTCCCAATTTGAAGCTTATTCGGCATTTGTACCACGTTCGAAGACGCTCTGCTGATGCCGCAGTTGCAGTTTGGCAGCTACATGTTCTAGTCGGAGACATGACTCCCTTTGAGTTCAATGCGCCGTGTCAAAGTCAAATACACTCGATCCAGCCTGTCCGCCTCGATGTGGCGCTGTCACTCCGCGAACGCACGTCAGCCGTACACTAACTAGGGATAGTCACGCATACTCCTCATATCAAAAACAACATACGGTCAAGGTACGTCATCCACTATAAGCATAGACCGTCTTCACTTCTTTGACCGAACCTTCGTACACACTCAAAAGTCATCCAACGCGTCTTACAGTTCTGAAAGCCCGTCATACTTGACAGAGGCACTGTGGTGCACCGGAGATGCGCTCGCACTACACACGCTTAGAGAGCGCTGTACCATCGCGGAGGCACGCTAGATATGTCAGTCTGCCTCGGTGCGAACGCCGCACGTTTGTCGTAGGCGGTGGACCAAAGTTTCGGGAGCACTGGTGGGAAGGGAAGTAATATTATCTTGGTACGTGGGCTCAACGAGTCCACTCCTATCTGTTGACCTGATAAACTTATGATGAGATCCGCTTCTTCAGGTCCGGAGCGTCTGTAGGCTTCGAGGAATGCTACACGGCCCACTTCAATCCACGTTCCTCATCGTGTTCACTGCTGGATCTTCCACCTGAGCCCAGCTTCCAGTGGAACCAGAGATTCACGAGGAGTCGGGAGCTAGTCGACTGGAATATGACGCAGCGCGAACCCAATCACTTCGGCGCAAAACGTCCCGGGATCGAACTCTATCACTACCTTTCACACGTTCTACATCCACGCTCAGCGCCGCACTGCACGGCGCTGCTGTAGGATGATGTTCGTGGCAGATGGATGCGCGACATGCTATACTTGGCCGTTCCATGCCCCAGTAACCTTTCGGCGCCGGGATGGTCTCCTAGGTATCCCACCGTGCGTGTGGTGGCTGAATGACGTTGGCGGTACACCCCATCCTCCCGCAGCACTCAATTGCCCCCACACCTCGGCCGCGATTCCCCCTCGTTATCTTCTGTCTCTACCACCTCCGCCCGGCTGGGCACTTCCAGTCTCTACGCTACGTCTCGCTTCACGCCCGTCTGTACCTCCTCACCTCCTGGTACTTGCTCACGGCATCTCGTGGCTGGCCACCCAATCACAATAAGTTATGTCGCAAGTTATCAGGCACGTTCGTTCGTGGACATCCCTTCCGACAGGCTTGCGGAAGGGCGGGCATAGGAAGGGTTTCAGTCTGATTGAGAAGTATCGACATGATACTGAAGATGAAGGTATGCAGAGAAGTTCCCGCTTGATACGATTAGAGGTGAGGTGGTTTGCTGACTTTTCTTTGCATCTTTGGGCACGATAGTGCAATGGGAGATGATGGCCATCCAGCCTTCGACAATGGATTTCGCAAGAAAAGTCCAGCCGTCAACTCTTTGGTACATGGCGCACAGCCCCCTTGAAAGTGCGAATTCCATAATATATACATCTCTCAGAGATGCTTAGTAATGTTTACGTTTAGATCCATTACTATCCCCTTGGCGACCACCCGCTGCACCATACTATTCGGATATGAGGCTTCCCTTCGAGTTATGGGACGACATTTTCAAGTATCTCGACGACGGCCACGACATCTACGCCCTCGCGCGAGTCTGCAAAGGTTTACGCGACGTCTCGAGGGAAGCGAAGGGCGACCACGCTATTTTGGTGAGACGCCACAAGACCGTCAAGCTGACGAACCTCCAGTCCATCCTCAACTTCCTGGATCTTGTCTCCACATCGCCCAAAATCGGATTCGCCGTGCTCGATCTGACAGTCACCATCCCTTTCGTGATTGACAGAGACATCGTCGGAGGCCTCGTTCAAGTTCTCAGTGTCGTTCCAAATGCCAAGCGCCTCTACCTCCATATCCAAGATGACGACCTGGGCTGGGCTTCGCACACTCTCTTGAGGTCCGCGCACCTGCCAATGCTCCGTGTCTTTGCCACATCTCTGCCATTCACGGCCGCGGTCGCGCGGTTCGTCAAGGTACATCTCAAGGTTGAAGATATCTCGCTCTCTACTCTCGACGCCACCAACTTCTGGCACACCACGAAGGACAGAGAAACCCCGCCATCCTCGCTTCGCACTATCGCGTGCGACCTGCGCGTGCTACAGCGATTCAGGCCCATGCCGTCGCTCACGCATCTTCACGTTCTCGTTCAAGTCCCACAGACCTTGGAGACGATCTGCTCGCTTTTCGGACGCCAACTGATTAGCCTGCGCCTTGGCGTACTCGATCAACTCCCGGATCTCCACACGTCGCCGTGCCCGTGGTCTACGTATGACATCCTCACGAGCTTCCCCCGCCTGAAGTTCATCCAAATTCACATGTTCGAGGTGGGTCGCTCGAATTCCTTCCATGTCTCTATGTCCACTGACGCATGTCTTGACAGCCGGACTTCGTCCCTCAGCCCATCCACTGGCAAGACAAGCGCGACAAGGCTCTTCAGCTTAGTAGGCCAGACGCGCTAACCGTCGCATGGGTGCTAGAAGAACAAGCCTGGGGTACAATCCTGGAGCACCCCGATGACGTCCGTCAACTGTTCGATGAGGCCGCGTCTGAGGTGCTCCGTCAGTGGGCGCCGTACGTCGACCGCGTCGTGTATGGAGATGCGGGCGTTCTGGATACTTCGGTCCGTTTTGGAAAGGATGGCACCTTTGAGATCCTTAGGCAGGACGAGCTTTTGGGAGAGGATCACTGGAGAAAACTGTGATCCCGTATGCCGCATCGCATGGAACCTGAACGCGTGCGTTTGACGGCGCCAGTGGCGCGTCACTTTCGTTCACTTTGTTTGTCAGTCAGGATTGGTACTTCTTGAGTTGTTGCGCAGGTGCGCTGTAGTTGTAGCCTACAGATCGTGTCTGCAGAGTATGGAGCATTCGGCTAGTTTGTAGCACTATGTACTATTAGATGTCGCCATTCAAGGCGATCACGACCACAATCGCTGTTGTACTTATGGCGATGAGCAGCGAACCGCCTTGCTTCCCATCATGCTCTTTGATATCATATGGACCAGATCGCAATCGCGCCGACGTGACGCTCTCATACAGAGTGACTGCAAGGAGGTCGAGCATGGCCTTCCGACGCGACGATCACGTGACTGATCTGCTGTACACGCGGCAAACAGCCACCCGAGCGTCAACCAGGAACGTTTTTCGAGGCTTTGAGCTCATCCCGAGCCTCCTTTCCCGGATCCTACTAGGTGAGATAGTGCTCGGAATAGCGGTGGCTGCTGCACATCCCGGTGCAACCAAGGCGTCCGTTGTATCCAAGGCCTCGCCACCTCACTCCGGGCCGTACGAACCACGCCACAGCTCTCCACGATACATTCATTACCCAGGATGGCCACCGCAACCATCACACGACTTTCACCCACGATGCCGTCCCAAGGCAGTTACGATTACTTGTATCAGGCCAATGTTGGCCTTCAGAACCTTCACTCAGTATGGGCACATGGTCCCCGCGCAGCAGCGAAAGAGAATGGTCCGACCTTGAAACGTGCGAAGACATCGACTTCATGTGAGCTGCTTCCGAGTCTCGGAACCCTTACTGTGAGACGCTGTTGCTAACGTCCACAATGATGTAGTTTACGACACCTCAAGTCCTTCTGCGGTGGATTTCCTTGCAATCGGGCTGGAGTATCGACTCGCTTGCGCCCTCGGGAGGAAGACAGTTCAACTACGAGATCGATGCGCTGACAGTCCTGCGGCGCGCTTATCTGGTAGGTCCCATCCGAACCTTAGAGATTGACTCCATCACTAATATTCAGGCTCAACAGTATGCTCGAACCTCTCTACGTCCGGGACGAATGAGCCACCAGGAGAGCGCCCGGTACTGGAGGACTGGACCAGTGACTGTACGTGCCGTTCACCATCCTGTACGGGGCTAATTTTGGGGATGATTTTGCTGACCACATATCTCCAGATGTCTTCGATGACAACGTTGATCCCTTTGCTGTTGCTGAGGTTGAGAGAACGACTGCCCTCAACCCACATGGCACAGCCGAAAGCGAGACAAGCCGCTCCGTAGGGACCCTTATACCCGAAAGGCCATCTCTCGTTGCCCTTCAGCCCTCATGCATTGAGGACACGCGGCCTACGCCATGCGATACGCCTGCTGGAGTCAAGGCGACCACATTTCTGAAGGTCCACGCTCCTAAGGCGATCCGCCCCACGCATCAGTTCCATCCCGATCAGTTCCATCCCGATTTATCAGGCCGTTCATGGCGAGCACCGGGCCCATCGCCACTTGCTCGCTCCTTTAGTGCGAACGCTTCTGCAACTGATGCAAGAGATCAACGCCACAAAGATGAGGACGAAGGAGATTTCGCTCGCTCCTTCAACCGCCACCATCGTTTACCCCCACGCCTCAGAATTTGGCCTCTGCCTCGCAGCTTGGGTCGCAAGGATGGCAGCGCTCGCATTCCCACGCCTCTCCTCCGAGAGCTGCAAAGGAGCCACTTTTTGAGCCAGGTCTGTTTCCTCGACGTCGAAGCTCCCGAGTTGGACTTCGTCGACGAGCGCAGTATGGAATGGCTCCTGGACATACAAGCGGACTTGCTGAGCGGACGGATCACGATCCCGGGAGTATCGCGGTTCGCCTTGGCGGAGCCTCCCAGGCTCGGGACGTCTCATAGATGTCTTAAGTGGGTCCAGGGATCCACCTTCCCCCGTCGCGTCAAGGACTACGGAAAGGCTGCTGATGACATGCTCGCCCGACGGCGGGCAAAGAATGGCGCATTGATAGCGTGAGGGAGGTGCTGGAGGTACGCGTGGTTGCCATGTTCATGTTCCATTCACGAACCAGTGCCTGCCGCTGTAATGGCCTGGGTACAACGTCTCGCTAAGTCGTTGATTTCTGCATTCGCGATCGTGTATCACGACCCATTATGCACTGTTGGATTTTGTACGACACTACACTTACATCTTTCCTCCCCCTCCCTTTCGGTCGCAACGCTGTATCTGTAGATAATGTATTTGTATATCGGTTCTGTGATCGTCGTCCAATCGTGACGCTCTCTTCGGTATTGATGTTGCTACTCTACGTTAGCTCTCCTGTGCTTTGTTCTTCGCATCTAACCACGATCTTATGAAAGTGAGAGAAGGCCCCAGTGGCTAGTCTACATAGGCTGCTTAGCTGGTAGCGATGGAATGCCCTCTCACTCCAATTACGGTATCACTGTCGAGAGGCAGACTTGAAAGTACCATCACATCCTGATCATGAAACTATTGACACACTCGCGACATAGCGACATAGCACTGCACGGGCTGTTCGTTAAGGCGAAGCATATACGAGTGGATCACTCGTAGTACGCCCAAGGTAAGTAGAAGTACCTCGGCTAATCACTGGCAGCTGCTGCTAGGACTGGATTCCTTGCGACGCTTGAGATTTCGAAGGTCACGAAGTTATCGCAGCCTACTTGGAGGCCTTGGATAAATTGCGAAAAAAAATTGACGCCTTATGCTCAGGCCGAGCCAATAAGGAGGCGACACCAGAGTCACAGTTTGAAACCACCTTTCGACGTCCTTGTCTCCTCCAAATACCTTACAATGAGACACGTCAAGCTATTCTTGCTTCATTTTCTCTGAGGAGCTGAGACTGATGGTGTCTGAGCAACGCGAGTGCTCAGCTGCGGAATAGAAAGCTGCTCGTCTCTAGATGACTGACTATCTCATTCTTGAACGAGCAATCTATCCACACCCCTCCCATATTCCCATCGTTGGTCTGATCACAGGAAAAACAGAGGTGCGTACCGCTCAAAACGAGACTGTTTGGTCAATCCTGACACAGCTCATGGATCCGATGCGCGCAGCGCTGCGGCGGGCCTGCTCAGATGCGCACCGTTGCTCTTGCATCCATGACCGCACCAACCAGTTCCTGGGCCTCCAGTCCCGAGAGGGCTAGTTTCATTGAGCAGCAGACCAGAGTCCTCACGCGCGATGTTCGACGCTGTCTCTGCGAGGCTTCGGACTGTCTCGGATACAAGGTTTGGTCGTGTTTGCTACAGAAGTCGTTGACAAATAGCCCACAACAACGCCTGATGGGAGAACGTGACGGTCACCTGTCATGCTATGTGTCACACTCTCTGCGGACCGGGAGAGTAGCCAGGGCTTGGTGTCTCATGATCCCTTAAGGCCTCTCTTTTCCGGTCTACATGAAGTGGCGAGCCTCATTTGAGGTTTTATCAGGAAGTGAAACCTCGTCCCGATTATTGTGCACTCATTCCCCCTAGCGCACGCCGGCTGATCATCTACCAACCTCAGGTATGTGCTCCTCTACCACAATTTTATCTCACGTAGAAACTGAGGGGTATGGATGAACAAATATTCAAGGACGTACCTGTGTGTGTTGCCTCTTTAAGGTGTATGTTGAACCCAGCGTCTCAGCAAGGAACTCAGCGCGCCAGACTCCGACCGGCACTCCGCAGACTGGCATGGGCCCTCCGTAGCGGCCCCTGCACTCCTTTGACCTCATACATCCCCCACAGTCTGCGCAACGTTTTTTCCCGCTCTCGCGTTTTCTCCCCTCCCGTTACCTCTTGCTTTCCACCTAGACGTTGCAAGGCAGATCACCGAAATATCCTGTATCGTTGTGGTACCAAGATGGGTATGTCTCTCTCTAGTATCTCGTTATCCTGAGATTTCAACGCGGCTGTAGCGTCTGAACTACAATCATCCACGCTTGACATCTTCGTCGACCGTACGAACCGGACCGATGGACAAGAGAACAATCGTGGCTCTAGGCCCCATGGTAGGCCCCGTCGTGTATCTCTTGGCTAGGTCGTTGTTCACTCTGTCATGTTTCGTACGCTGCCCCAGAGGACGTTGCTGTTGAGCAGCCGTCAGTCGCGCCTACAAACTCTCCCTGTGCGGATGTGCCTGTCACCGGCTCGCAGACCGCAGGTTAGTGTTTAGCGACTAATGCGTGTCGTAGCCGTCGAACCTGAGACGTGACTACAGCAGAAATTCCTTATACCATTGGCCATCCCATGGAAGCATCCCCTCCCGCGGTCCCAGTCGAGATGTCTGCTTGTGAGTGATCAGGATGTCGGCAGATCTTCCTGCTTTCTAACAGACGCTGTTAGTAAGTGCCATTGGTGGCGACTCTCGAGCTGGATATGGCAATGTTGAGGATGGTGATACGTCCGAAGAATGGTTTTTTAGTCGTGAGCCCTTCATTTTTGGTTTTCGATAATGCGGTGGGGCCTTACATTGTTTTCTTATCAGCGCCGGCATTCGATGCTGAGGATGACAAGGACATGGTTGTCAAATACTTGTCCCGAAAGAATTCAGGGAGAACCTGGGACTCGACTATGACATGTGGACTCAAGGCGATGGATCGCCGCCGCAGTTTCACGGTAGAGCCTACGCTCTACGAGAAACTCACGCTGAACAAGTTCGGCTATGCGTGAGTACATAATTCGCTCCCTATGCCCTTCACCTCACCGTTTCACTGGCGTATGGCTGTTTGCAGATTCAACAATGCGTCCTGTGCAATTGGTGGAGGGCTGTTCTTCAAGATCATCCCTCTGCATTTCCACCAACCCCGCGTGCCCATCGGGGTGCGAGTCGCGGAGCAGGGCAACTTGCTCCAGGAACGTGCGCTTCGGTTGCAATCGCGAGGGTTTTTCCCGGGACTATTTCCATTCTATCACCTCGATGACGAGGAGTTGAGCTGGGAGTTTTTCGACCCCCCCGACTACGAGGAGTGGTCCAGCGAGTCGGACGAGATCTGAGGGGTCACTCGCTCATTCGCCTTTCACCCGTAAGGGGTAGCTCTCTCTATCGTTATCATTTTCAACAGTGTGGATGACTTTCCGATGCTCTATGCGAATGCGTTGGCTCACTCCATATCCGCCTTCCCACAACCTCATTTCCGTGACGGATACTCGCCACTTTTTCTTTTGATTTTCATAGTTCTCCTATTCACTTTTTCTTGAAGTCTCGACATAGCTTGAATCCACATTAACACTGCTACTACGACACCCTATCTCAGTTGACCATATCGTTATGACCAGCTTTCCCCCTCGCTATCGTTTGTTCTTGTACATCTTTGTTCTCTCGCTCGCCTTGTCGAATTGCTACGACTACCAACGGATCCCAGAAATGAGTCTCTGCATGTATCACACTGTATTAGGAGTTCCGCGAAATCCCACAAACTGTCTACGTCCGTGACCGCGCTGCTACTCGGAGGACCCGCCCAATTGTATTGTACGGTAAGTACGTGCGATGAGCGCGTGGCGTTCAGTATCGCATACGCCGTTCAGCCAATCAGAGCGGCCCCTGTCAATCGCGCGCCAAATGTCACCGCGCCCCTGCGCACGAGCTCGTAAGTACAGCCTGAGTGACTCGGAGTCACACGTTCTGCCACGGCGGGCAAAGCGCCAGGCTCCAAGCAGGGAAATCTGTGCAGCATTTATAGGCAATGCAACCTGGCCCTAGCATTTCCAGTGGGCCTTTGTATCCCTCTTTGTCATTTGGGTAATCTTATGGGCACGTTGCATCGCCCGTATGTTCAGCGTAGATTTCCTCACCTGGACCATCGCGCTTTGCCTGCCGTGTGCTTCACGCTGACCGTACCGTCGCCTGAGACGTTTGCGAGTATCTCTGTCCTCTCTGTGCATATCTGACTATTATTGATCTCTCATAACAAACGGCCTCAGTCTCGGCCGAGATGATCCCGCCCGTCAGTGGCACTGACTAGTGCTACTTCAAGATGAATCGCAATCTGTCACTCGCTACTAGTAGTTTCACTTTTGAGCGGTGTGAGTTGGGCCGGATCGATGCAACAAGGGAGCTTCGAGTACCTGGGTTGGGGTTTTGGTACACATGGGTACAAAATAGTACGTCACTGCTAGCTGCCCCATCCTCTGCTTACGCCCGGGTCACCGTCTGTGAATTCACTCAAACAGGCCATACGGACTGCCGTTCCCAGACATTTTGTATCGGAAGCGAACTATAAATCAGGCCTACAATTCCTCCAAGAGACGCTGGCTACTCTAGAAAGAGTCGAACAGTGATCGGCGCTCGCATCTGAGCATTGTCCTACACTTAAACGGCAAGGGAACTCCCATGAGCGCCTGATCACTGCGCTCTCGCTCCAACTATTTCCTTTCTCATTCTGATTCTTGCTCGCACCTTGCTGGCACATAACAATTGAACTCGACCGATTGTCTCTCAAATCTCCTTGACCTTTTTGACCTCTCGTATTAACGACGGGCGTTCTCATACAAGCAATGGATTCCACCGTTGCTCTCGGACCCGTCTTCCAACAACTTTCGCCCGTAACCACAGCGGCGTATTTTCCAAAAAATGAGCGAATGTGCAGAGACGCCATTCCAAACAAAGATACGAGCATGGAAGTCCACATACCCCTGACTTCGCCACTCTGTAGGTGCCACTTACAGGCGTAACCACATGTCTTTGACACCGTGACCACTGAATAGCCTCGACGCCGCTCGGATGCGAGATAACTGTTGAAGAGGACACCCCCGTTCATTCAATAAGGGAGCTCGAATATGCAGGTACGTTGAAATCTACTTGTTCAGTCATGCTGCTCACTCGATTGACGCCTCGCACTCGATGGTACAGGAACATTTCGCCGTCTGTCTGAAGCATACTACAAAGACAGTACAGGCTCGCGCGTATGCATCACCATCGATGAAGACATTCCGCTCATCGACCAACTACCATCAAAACGCTGTAGCCCACCGAGCTCACTTTCTTCCCCATCGCAACGTCTCGGGGTAGTGAAACCCTCTCGGAAGCGAGGCTTTTTCCCTCGTCCTCGTCCGTTCTCCCCTCACCGGAGCTTGAAATCCGCACTACTAAATAATCTCGAGTTCAAGGCTTTGTGGAATCGTCGTAGGATGTAAGTCCGCTGTTCCTAAGCACGAGTGATGGGACTCTAACAGCCCGAACGTGTATCAGAACTAAGAATGAGAAGACACTACCGGAAAAGGTTGTGCTCCAGCGAGACCTTCCCGTGAAGTCCAAGGGTACACCCCACGCCGCTGCGGCCAACCATCGCGGAGAGCTCCGCCAACCCAGGCCTCGCCGAAACTACCGGTACACCATGCACGCCCGTGATGCTATCAACTTGGGACTAGCGACTGTACACACCGGCGCGGCTTTCCTTGGTCCCGGAGCAGCGTTGGAGAAACTCGGCTCATCGGCGGAGCGTACACCTCGACTGAAGAGGAATCGATCCGTCTACATGGGACATCACTTCCAGGTCCGCCGACGTGGCGACGATGGCCCCGGTGTGCCCATGCGTGCCGATCTTGGAGCTGCGGTGTACTGGAAGAGGACGGTGGAGTCGTTGGTGGCAGAGGAGGACGCTAGCAAAGAAGAGAAGTTGAAGAAGAAGCTTGCGAAGATGCACGAAACGCAAGACACTTCTAGCGCATGGAGATTCTACACGATCAGGAAGCGAGTCGGTGAGATGGCCGCTCGGATGCAAGAGAGCGAAAGCGAATGGATGGATGTATCACCGACCCCGCACAGGGTGTCAGAGAAGAGTTGATCTCATCATCGAGTTCGATGTCAGATTGGTCATTGCCGTCGACGCTACTTAGCGAAGGCAAACCTATTTCTCCCTGTCCCATGGCCCAGGTCGCTGTTCTATCTGTGCTCTGCCCATCTAGTAATGTATATTTCGGTACGATACTGTACTATAGACCACCTAGATCAGCATCTATATTCTAAACGTGACGCGCGAGGGTCCTTCTGTCCATCCGGCGGGTGGCGTCGCATAACCCGTCGGCCAATCAGAGTCCAGGTAAGGCTCGAGCGTCTAAAATCAGTCCGCCACGTCAGGCGCATCGACTCCGACTCGAGTCGTAGGCTTCCCTCACTTGTCATCCATTCCTATTCACCATGTCTGCACTACTAGGACTCCTTTGCTACCCTCGGCTATTTGAAAGTGCTATGAGCTAAGTCGTGATCAGGACGGCAGTCATAGTGGTAACAGTACTGCGCCGAATTACAAGATACCTCGAGACTGGAGCAAGTAATGACCCTGTGCGTCTCAGACCTCATCTGCTCTGACAGCCCAGGTCAAAATGGATGCGGTGAGAACTGTGGCATGGAGTTGTTCGGATGCGATTGGTTGTCGTATGCGAGGACTGTCAGACGTTGTAGCACCCATCGGCATCCGGAGTAAGAGGTCAAACGTGCCACTGATCTGAAAGGGCACACATAATCGTGGTAAAGAGCTCCGGATGTTAGACTACAATGCTGGAGTGTTTCTGCTAAGAGCTTTAAGGTTTGAAAGCCATGTGAGTGTATTGCCATAGACATACGTTCAGACGATTTTGCCGTATTTGTTGAGGATTTGATGACTAGCCTTCCCATACGTCCTCTGGATGCTCACTGTAACGCAGCCATGTTCTAGCTTATAGAATACATATGGCACTTCCATGATACTGCAGGTGAGTACGCATATAGAATGTGCCAGTGGGTGCAGTGGCCGCTCCCTTTAGGTAAGCCGAGTGGCCCTCGCTTGGTCTTTGTTCGATGCTAGAGCGCTTAGACCATCGCTAAGACACGACGCGCCTTCTGACTCTCAACCACGCTGCTTGTTCTCCCACATTCCTGCATAATTCGCGTACCAGGAAAGCTTTCAAGCTGCTTTTTGAAGACATATTGAAGCACCTGCGCTCTCGTACTCAATAATGGCGGCTATGGTTATTGTCACACCACTTGTCATTCCTCCTTACCGGCCCTCGTCCCCCCGACCTCCGCCGCAATGCAAGCTGCCCTCTCCTCCAATCATTTCAAACCCCTCGTTTTTGAGGAAGCGTGTTTTTGTAACTGAAGATGAAGATATGAATTATACAAAACGGCCTCGCATCTGCCCGCCTAGTATGTTCCTCGTTGTTGCTTTGCCTAACCACCACATGAGCTGACATTCGTTCACCAGTCTCGGCTGCCGTTGCACAAAAAGTATCTATATCCGTGAATACGCGTCCTGAGAGTGGATTTGACGGTGAGGAAGGGATAAGCTCAGGTATGTTGAGCGTATCGTCCTCGGTCGCTCCCGGAGTTGCATGTCCACATGAATCGTAGATATGCATAGCTATCCCGATCATTGCAGCGGCATGCAGTCAGCTGTAGAGAGCGCATCCTACTCTGGTTAGCCCTAGATGTGTCTCTAATTGTGCCTGAATACTCACATTCACTGTGGTAGACGACGGTTCGGCGCAATCCAGTCCTTCCAGCTACGAATCGTATTTCGAGCTCGATAGAAGCGACTTCTTCAACTCCGAGAGTGACTTGGCCTCGTGGATAGATAACCTTCCTGACATCGACGATATTATGAACTCCGAATCGCTTCTTGGCGAGCTTGGGCCTCCCCAGAGATGGCAATCACCCTCGCCCCCACCTCCCCCTGTGATTGCCCCGGAGTGGGATGATACTGGCGCTGCATTCAGCGCAGAACGACTCCGTCACTATATACCGGATGCGAAGGTTCTCCCAACCATCCGCGGATCTCTAGGCATTCTGGACAACGAGAACCTTCGCATCGATGTCTCAAATAACCTGCGATTGCAGAGGTACGCCCCTAACCCACCTTGTAAGCCAAGACGTCCTAAGCCTTCCCAAAACTCAGGATCTATGCCTCTGAGACGCCGATTCTTCCTCCACTCCTCGAGCGCGACATGTTGCGCAGGCCCGCCCTCGGTACTCCAAAGCGAAGAATAGATGATCGCGAGAAACTGGAGCCGCCCTCACGCTACAAGTACAGGCTGAACGCTACGCAGGCACGAAGGGTGGATAGGAGCGGAGACAAGGACTATTCAGCATCCGAGCTGTTCGCCGGCACCGGCGCTGACCTGAAGAAGGTCACGAAGCCTGCGGCGGTGCCACCGAGGGCAAGCGGCGAGCTCTGCGATTTCACAGGGGTGTTACACCTTCTAAGCCGCAGTGAGACTCCAGATCCATCCGATACCGTTGAGGCGTACCCAGACCCGTCCGCTGTGGAAGACTGGAGGAGGCTCGCGAACGATATAATCTGTCCACGCGCGCAGACGGAATCGACGGCGAGAGGCTTCCAGCTTGAGGTGCTGCAGTTTCTGGAGGACAGCATAGACGGTGACGATATGGAAGAGGTATATATCCCAAAACTTGAGTTTGAGGCTGATATCGCGTTTGACTGGGACGACTCGAGTACCAATAGCGAGGCTGAGGATTTTGACTACGATACATGGGTCGCGGAAAACCTAGCGTTGTGAAGTGTTTCTAAAACGATCACTCTTTTTTTTTTCAGTACTTCGTCTTTGTTGATTTTGTGTTGCTGGCTGTATCAATAGTTACATCTATTTCTATTGTATTTGCTATCGGATTTAAGGTCTTGTCGCAGTATACATGTGCTTGAATGGTGTCGGCATGCGCGTCTCAAATCGCATTCGCTTACGTCCCTATATCGACTCCGACCCTTAACCGAGGGGCACTTGCCCTTTGTCATCTTGGCCTTTCTCTGTAACCACCACGTTGTGGCTGGGCTCAAACCTGAACTGGTTCCTTCGCCATACCGAGTGCCACCACCTGATGCGTCACGGCTCATGGCACTCGACTCGCCGAATGCCGCATTCCTCCGCGAGAGACCTGTGGTCCCGCTCCCTCCATTGCTGTCTCCGAGCGCTTGCATATTCAGTCACCACGGAGAAGGCAGCAGCCTCACCTCTCTGATATCCACATTGAGATACATTCGCAACAATGGTATTGCTTCTATGACTAGTTTCCTTGATGAGATGAGACTCATGGTATACTTATCATCGCTCCAGCTGCTAAGACAGCCCCAGTACGACGGTGGCTGGATGAAGATTATGACTATGATGCCCCCGAAGAAGTCGCTCGTCGCAACCAGGTGTTCGAAGCGTTTGGTGAGCAACACATTCCATGCTAACTGTCAAATTGCGGTGACGTCTGGATGCGCTCATGGTTAGCGCGTCGTGTTGCGGCGATCGAGTCAGCGGAAGCAGGTATTGGGCTCCAAAGTCATATTGAAGAGGACACAGAGTATGCGGGTATGTCGCTATCTTTTTCACGAGGTTATAAAGCCACAGAGGCATGTCTAATATCTTCAAACTGTGCTAGATGGTACTAGGGAGACCATCGGGATGCAGCTCTGCGATGTTGGAAGGAAGGCGACAGGTCGGAAGCTTTGCGTGAAGAAGCCCGTCTCTCTTGCCACTACTACCAGTAGGCGGCCGAGCCACTCACAAACAAAGACCTCAGATAGTAGTCCAAGGCACCTTAAAGAGACTAGTGACCTGCAGGCCAGGGAGAAAAGGGTCCCAGGTACGTCCCTTCAAGTGTAACAACCCTCGCAACTGTACTGACATTGGATCTCAGATGACCAAACAGAGACTGTCCCGACCGCGATTCGAGCTGGGGAGCACCCCCTTTCCAAGTTCCAGGTACAAGAGTTCGAAATGGTTAGAGCATACCTCGCAAAGCGTGCAGCACACTTTGAGTGGGTGTCGACGTCTTCTCATGGACTAGAGCCACTACCCTATCCCAACGACATACCGCTTTCGAACGACATCATTGCGTATCGATTTGAACTCGCGTACGACGTGTCATGTTCTTTCTACTCTTCATAAAGATTTACTTGGTCACTGCTCTTAGGGTGAATCACGTCTGCAATCTCCTGTCCATGGAATCTCCATTTGAAGCGAAGCCGACGGTTCTGAAGGACGCTGATTCGTCCGTGACAGATGCACAGAATGGCTCCCCTTGCAAAGGGGAGAAAGGCCGGATCTGCACTCCATTACGTCGCTTCGGTGGCTCAGCGGCCACTATACTGTTGAAATCTCGTGCCACCTTGAACCACCATAGGCAAATGGACGGTGTGGATCCTGTATTCGTGGGTAGACCGGCCAATGCATGAAGAGGGCTTGGCGCGCTTTTGATGGTGTTCCCGGGTTTGGTAATGCTATTCAACTACCCCAGGGGGGACGTGACACTCTGAAGCTACTATTCATTGTGTCCTCATGCTGTTGCAGTTGATTTCATTCTTCTAAGCGCAATCACGGTACTTGGTCGGTTCACGGCGACGTAGTCGCTCGATAGCCTTAGTACAGCTGGTCTCTACTGTATCGTCGACACCTGTGTACATCAATGTTTTGTATTTATCCTGGATTCCTAGCTATTATATGCTATGAATCACAGTCTTTCGGAACTAGGAGCTCTGGTAAAGTCAAGGCTTCCACGTTACATCAAATTTTCTCATCTTTTGCAAAACGGTCAGGTGGCGTATCTCACGGGGTGCTCTATTTAATAGGCTTGGTAATACAGGCGCTGTGAAGCACGATAAATCGTCAGGATGAAAATAGGAGGGGCCGTGATCTTTTGTGCCCGTCACTGCTGCCTCTTCGCACCGGCGCTTCGCCCACTGCTTCAACTTGACCACGACTGATCACAGTCGAATTCGAAGTCGGCTTGTTGCTCTCCCTGAATCTTCTCAGCCGTTCTCCATACGTGAATACTTGTGCTCGCACTGCTTCCCCCTCCCTACGATGCCTCACGTGTTTGATGTACTCCGCGAAACCACCTCCGTCAACTCGTTGCCAGAAAACTTGGACGTCAGTCGCTTATTTCGATCTCAAGTCTGCCCACACAAGTCGAAGGGCGGGGACACTCGTAAATTTGGCCTCAGTAAGCATATAGACTGCCATAGCATAGCTCTTCTGACACCTTCGTGACAGACGACTTGGACGATGATCGGAGGGCACTCGCTCTACGAGAGGTCAACATTCCAGAGAGCATTCGGAATGCAACGTACTTAGACAGCTTCTCAAAATCGGGTACATGTGCATTTCTTTGATTGTGTCTTGTCGCCTGCCGGCGCTGACCTTAGCGACGTGTGATACAGCCTCCATAACCACTCCACGGCTCATCTCTCCGCATCTCTCTCAAGCAGAGTCTCTTGCCGACATTCTCGAGGAAAAGTGGGTAGGAATGTCGGGGACTTCGTTGAACGCGGAATCTTTGAGGAAGAGCGCGCCCTACGAGGATGACCCCAAGGGAGGACGATCTCCACCTTTCAAATCTGTCAACAGTGCGAGGCGCAAGACGCGCTCATCCTTATCCTTTGCAAATGTCTCGCCTCACAAAATACATACTCTGCGACACACCCTTCCCCGGTCAAGGCATCATAACTGGTGAGTGTCTGTCATCTCAACGTGCTTTTTGTCTATTAAGGAGATTGTAAGCCATTCGGAGACGATATGTCGCTCTAGTGAGCTCAGGCCTCAGGGACACGTCTCAAACGTAGCATCTCCCAAGGCGATACGCAATATTCCCGAGCTAATCATTCGACGCGCTTTTATGATCGAATACGTTCGTGCAACCAACGGATCCCTTGGTTCGCTTGAGCAAAGTCCGTTTCGATCGCTCCACCTTCGCGATTCAGAGAACGTGCCCGAAGGTTCAGGATGCGGATCCGCAGGGGCTGCCTCCAATGGAGAATATTTTGATGAAATTGTCATAGAAGGGACGCGCAGACAGCTCTCTCGGGTCTCGATGCAGGATGACGATGATATGAACGGCGCCTGAGTCGCGTTCGCGCGTTCGCTGTACATTCTGCCCTTCCGCTTCATATCCTGTTTCAACTTATCTCCATGCTTTGTCTTTTACGCTCTCATATCACTCCTTATCGATGCAGTGTATGTGTGTACCCACCTTGAACTCTTGGGCCGGTTGTTGTATAATCGTGGCCTGACCGTCGGCAACGCGCTTTGTGGTCACCTGTCCACACGTTCATGGCCCTCGCCAGTCCGCACAATGGACATGATTACTGTGGCTCACAAAGAGGGTCACAACCACAATGTCAACCCACGCCTTTCAACAGACACTCTTGATCAACTGCGGTGCCCGAACATCCTTGCATCCGTCTCTCGTGCACCAACGCGCCACTCGTACCTACCACACACCTCTCTCCTACAGTAATCCCCGTATAATGATGGCGACCTGCCTTCGTGACTCTTCGTCTTCGACGGACACAATTGGGACTCTAGCCGCCATCCTTGCAGCCGCCCTCAACGATTACGGTCAGTCTTGTGGAGGCGACAACCGTATACGAATGCATAGCTCAAATATCACCCATTATCAGGATTTTCATTCCGCGAAGACCTCAAGACGGGGGAAGAGCTCGTTATATATCGCGTACGCGATATTGAGCTCCGCGCAGGGAGGATAGGTGAGCCAATTGTATTGTACATGCACGATGTCCACATGAAGACTGACCGCACGCGGGTGGTGCAGACTCGAACTCGGCGACGCGCAGCTTCGGCATGTCCGTAGACATCCTCGGTCGCGGAAAGGGCCCATCTCAGCTGACTCTTAATGGTATCTTGGAGGTACGGCGCTTGCTGAACGTGTATGAGCAAACCTGATAATAGACGTATATTGTATTGACTCCTGCGCGGACTCGTCTGCAGAGAAGTGTGGGAGAGCAGCTTGCCTTCGCCTCCGCCTGTGCGGCGGACCCAATCCTGGCGCGTTTGCTCATTATAGCGAGTGTGGTCGTATACTTCGTCTCGTGCTTGGATGCTTTCTTCGTGGTTTGCGACGCGTTACGATGTGTATAGAGACCACCTAATCAACGTAAAGGTTGGTTGAGAGTGATTCTACTCACCAGCGCAAGTATGGATCCAGTAGAGACAATCCCCTCCCCGGAATATCCCTTCGAGTCTTGGTAAGCAGGATTGCGTACGAACCGATGCGGGCGCCACTTGGGACGCAAGGAAGGTTTTTCCTACACGCGGCTGCACCCATGTTGCCTTGCGAGCACAGTGTCGACAGGCAGCGTACTGACACCATGAGCCTCTCTCCAATGATTGGAGCCAGCGTGCAATTAGATTCCTCTGTCTATCCCAAGTGGCCGGGACGGGAAGGAGTTTGGGTAGGCTGGTTGTGCAGAAATACTCGTGCGAGTCGTGGAACGGTCACATCTCCGTCTGAGAAGAGCGACTGATGCATTTCCATGAATATGGAGGACTCACCACCGACAGTCTTGGTCCGATGGGCACCGACAATCTGGGCATGATCCGAGAAAAACTCGCCCCTCAAAAATCGGTGTCCTATAACTCCTTCGTGGATGCGCGCACCTGGGTCCTACCCTTCTGTTCAATGCGACGTGCTTGAGCGAGCTCCCTTCCAGCTGAAGCTGCTCATGGGGACGAATAATGGGGCGATTGAGGACGTAAGACATTACTAGAAGGAGCACATGCGCATCCGAGCACAACACCGAGTGTCGGGCAACGCGGCCACGTACGGGGCACTTCAGGGCCGGTCGGCGCAGTCCAAATCGTCCTGCACAAGACTCCCCCGGAGTGTCATTTGGTCGCTACGCGTGGATGTAGCTCAACTTCATCCTCTCGCGACATCGCTAACAATCTCGAATCCTCAATACAGCCATCCCCCCCGAATGCTTGCTAGTCTGGAAACGAAAACTCTTCCTCCAAGAGACAGACACTGATGTTGTACACACTGTAGAAGGATACTGCCCCAAGGATTACGGCGTTGATTCATGAAAATCCACGTTTAACCCCGATATTCCCTCGACTTCGTGTCACCATCACGCCAACGGGAGTCCGGACTAATGCAACGCACCGTCGGGACTCAGATTGCCCAGTTCAAGTCAGTACCGCACTTGAACCGTTTATACTCATTTTCAATCAAGCGCAAATACCAGCGCATATGTTCGGCATGGTATACAAGTTATGGGACGTTACTTGGCAGAGCTACAAACAGCCACTCACCGAATTACGCAGGATTCCAGTCACAGCAGGCCAAGAACACGACACATTTGTGCTTGTTAGGATCAAAAGCCTTTGCCAAACAACCCATAACAACCTTCGCAGGTGTGTCACAGCATGTCACAACCGGCGTCACCCACGTCTTGCGGGCACGTGCGTTTTGTTGAAAGTCCAGGGCTAGCAGGACTTGATTCTAAGTTTGCACTCCGATAACCGACGGCATTGATCCTCCCTATGGTTCGCGTATCCTGCTAGTGTCTCCCTTCGTCAACTATTCCCAAAGGCAAGGGAGTCCTTCCTCGTCCCTCCTTACTTCATGCTGTGGGACAGCGACTCTGGAACACAGCGTTTCAGGTCCCTATATTCACCTCTACAACACACTCACTAAGGCCTTTCTATTATGAGATACTCCACCGACATTCTCTCGTTGGGGGAGCTTAGAGCTCCTCTTTCTCCCATCGTTCCATTAGACCAGCTTGGCACTGGTGGTTACGAATCAGCCGGTCCAGCTCATGCAGATTCATCCACTTCATGCGCGCGCAAGGATGTTGGAGAGGGTGAGTTTCCTTGCACTGTCATATATCGCATATGTAGCTTGACTGACTATCAACGCAGTAACCGGCGGGAGCTCCAGCAACTTTGGGACCCACAAAGCTTCCCCACAGTCTCAAACAATCACGGCCACTCGCTCACTGCTTGGTTTGTCTCCTCGTAGATGACTCCCCTTGCTCGCTCTTAACGAGCGACTTTACTGCACACTTGCGATGCGCTCCTCATAGCTGGTTCCCTGCGATTCATCGAGTTCGATCGCCGGCCATCCTACAGTTCTAGCGAGGACTACGATAGTAAGTGTCTTACCTAAGCATAACGTTGCTCGTGTGAGGAAATGGCTCTTTTTAGACACGACAGACAGTTCCGCGGAGGTCACTTCCGACGAATCGCCTACGACCGATGACGACGACTTCGCTCTCAGGGCTCTGGCTTTCGCCAAGATGCGAGCTGCTAGTCACGGCATGGGCGCGGCTATGAGCGTGTTCGCCACTTCTCTCCTTTCAGACGATGTTGAGGATGAGGATGTCTCTAGTAGTCGGATTCATTCCATTGCATTCGATGTCATCTCGACGATCAGCAACGGTGAGTACGTTATCTCCACAACAAGTACAGGTTGCCTTAACAAATGTCTGTCTTGCACGCCCAGCTCCCCCTGCTCTTGAGCGTCACATTTTGCAATTTTCCACTGACTGCTCCGAGGAGGAGGAATTGACCACATATCAGCGGGATGAATGTGCCATGGTTCGAGCCTTCACGAAACGCTGGGCAGAGAACATGAAGTTCGGATCGACGTACTGGCAAGGCACGCGGCCACTGCCCTACAAGGAGATCTCCATCGCTACCGCTCACTATCTTACCCTTTACAAGACTGAACAGGCGTAAGTTCCTTCTTCCTGCAGCGATTTTGGACATCGATACGATTGACCTCGCCAACGAAACTCAGCATCCGCAACGTGTCCGCCCACCTGAACATTCCTCCCCCTCTCGAAGTCGACCTACCTGAGCCGCGTCTGTCCTCAGATCCGGTGCATGTAGGGCTCGCTCGCTGCGTCGAACGCGGCCGCCTTCTTCCTCGCTTCCCTGTCGGTTACTCCCCTCAACAGGAGCTCGAGATCATGCGATCGGCGCTCAACAAGAAGATAGCCAAGAAGAACAAGAAGGTACAGACAGTCGAGGTCCGCCTGCTTGCAGGCGCGAAGCGCGCTGCCGGTAAGCAGAAGGAGGCTCAGCAGACTCGTCGCGAACAGTGGGCACACGGGCCGTCCAAGCTTCGACTCGACATGGGCCTTGATCCGACTGGGGACGCAGTCGTGAATGACAGCCCTTAAGGTATGAATTTTCGCGTTCATTCCCCTTTCTCTGCCCTGCACTCTTCAGTGCCTCTCAGCCTCTTGCAATCTTCCATTTGAGCCATTGTACTCGTATTGTACCACCTCACTCCCTGGATACATTGCTCTATGGACTCCGAGACCTTCGCTGTCCTTCATCACTGTTGTCTACCTCTTCGCCTCGCGGTCCCCCGTACAAGCCTGATTGTCACACAGGGATATCTCCCCGGTTTCACTCATTTCACGCTCTCCATTGGCTTTGCTTTGTACGTTTGTCGCCTTGCTCGCATATTCCCTGTTCGCTTTATCTCGTGTTCATACTCGTATTCTACCATGTGTATCACTCCTCGCTTCCTTCAGTGCTCTTCAGTGCTCTCTTTTGTTACCGTCTCGTATTCAAGCTCATCTCTTCGTGACAACTCTGTATCCATCAGCCTATCTCTTTGTAAAGGAACGAATATTGCGCTTGCGGTTGAAGTCATCGAACGTTTGTATGATACGCAGTAGTATTCGTAAAAGAAAATTATGAGCCGAACGTCTTTGTTGTTTCTCCGAAACTAAAATACTGAAAGAGAGCCTCGGGACTACTGTACTACTTAGCTCGAGGATATCTGCCTATGCGTTGGCGAAAACCCCCACAAGCAACTCACACGGCGAGGTGACCCGCCCCCATCTTGCGGCAAAGGCGCCATAGATTGTTCTGCAGATGGTCCGGAGATACGCGTCCTTTGTCTGGGCTCCGTGGAACAATGGCGCCCGAAGGAGTCGTATGAGCTGTGGCCCGCGCCACTTGAACCAGTACATTCCAGCCCCATTCCGTCCGCTAACCCATACGCATCCACTCTTCCCGGGTACGCACGTCCCAAAACAACGACAAACGCATCCCTGCTCTCCAACGCCCTTGGAACATGACCACCACTGCCTCCAAGACCATCTACTCTCCCATCCCAAGGCAGGCATCTACTGGGACGATGCTAAACAGCTATTCAATTTTCTCTCGTGAGTCTTCGGTCCGATCCTAGTAGCCTATCATGCCAATCCCAAACATGATCCGTCTGTCTTGCTTTGTGTTTTTATCGGAAGCCCCGGTCCAAGGCCTCCAAGCACTAAGAAGGCCTCCGGTCCTATCGCCCCTACGTCAGCCCAACAGCCCTCAGATTCGACGTCTTCTCTACAAAGTGGTAGTTGCCACGATTTCGCAGCGTCTATACCGTTCAAAGAGCCCGGTGGCCTTCCCTTCGCCGTCGGGGAACCCTCTCCAGCCACTGCGGTCGTCCCTAACCACCACTCTCCGTCATGGCCCAATAAGCGTCCCCTTTGCTCTCCAAAACGCTCAACAACGCCTCAGCCACATTTCTGTTGAGGACAGAGCTTTTGGTCGGAGGCCCAAGCCATCCCGTCGAGGGAAGCGTCTTGTCTCGAAGTTGTCGCCGCTCTACGAAAACGATACACACACCCTGCCCCCCACAATTCACAATTTGACCAGACAAAAAACCACTCTTTCCCGTAGTCGCGTCTCTGCAGTTGAGAACACAATACCGTGAGCATCAATACTTCCTGGCAGGGAAACATTTGCTGACTTACCCCATGATCAGATTCCCTACAGAAACACCACCCCGTTCCAACTCGATTCCAAAAGGTCGCAAAATGCGGGCGGTGTCCTACAGCGTCCCTCGTCAGCCTTTTGTGTAGAAGTTCGAGGGCAAGCGGGCACAAATGGGATTCGCGTTTGGCCGGTGCAAACGCGTGCCGTACACAGTAGATACAATAAGGCTTATATACGTAGCTAAATAGGGGTAGATAAGGGCGCGGGTATCCGTCGGGGGGCGGGACCTGTGGCGCTCGTTCCGCGAGCTCGCCATCTTGACGCCAGGATTCCAACATTTTGCCCAGCTTTCAACTACTTAGTCCACTGTATTCCGGGGTCTACAGACACAATGCCTTCACATAGGTCGTTTCCCAACTTCCTTCGACAATGAAGTCTGGATAAATATTGATTGTACCATACTGCTGTATATCGCCCGTTGCACACTTCTTCGTGCTCTATAGAATGTAATACATAATTTACTTGCTTGTTAAAATCTGTGGAACATAGTCTGGCGAGGGACGTCTTCTCCATTCGACTCCCAGTTATCTGTCGTAGAGCCGCTCCTCGGCCTGGTCGCGAGACCACGACTTCGACGTGTAGTGATAGATGGTGTCTATGGCATGCATATCCCTAGACAGAGTATAAAACTCACTTATGATACAAATCTAGCCCAGATAAACCTCTAGAACGAGGAATATTGAACGAGATCATTGCAAGACTCAAACTCCGTGTGCATCGGACGCGTACTGATCGCGTTGCGTTGTTATCACGTGAGCGCGAAGGCAATTGTGACAGCCACTGCGCTTTGTCTCCCAGCAAGCGCGACTACCTCAAGTACCTGTATGATCATAATAGCTTCGAGAAATGTACGAATACAAAGAGTTGATGCGCAACAGAACATGAAAACAACAATGGAATATGATACGCCTTTTGGATGATGCGTCCTTATCCACTCGGCTCTAGTACGGGAACCATGGCCCCAAGTCTTCCACGTCAGACATCGGATCCAAAGTCAAAACCTCCTCTCCCTGGGCCCACTCAGGAGAAGGCCCCCTTTCCCGATCCATCAGGAGGACGCTCGCGCGCTCCGCCTCCTCAAGGATTGTTCCCGTGGTGCTGCCCTTCAGATCCTTCCTCGCCTTTCCGGGCAAGTTCGCGAGCTCCTGAGCGTGAGCCCGCAGATGCCTCATAGCTCTCTCGTCCGTCCAAAACTCTGCTGCCCTCTTGATATTCCCGGCACCCACGACCATCGTATGTCTGACACATCCTTCGTCGTACTCCGCGTCCGCGGCCTGGGTGGACTGACGAGCAGAGCGGAGGAGAGTAGCCCATGAGTTGTCGTCGTGGAATGCGTCTTGACCAAAGCGTGCAAAGGGGATAGTACCGTCGCAACAGAGATATGTGTAGGGGGAGGGGGGAGCAGTGAGTGGCGTCCATCTTCCGAAACGCGCACCTGCTGGCGTGCCACGTCCCAGGACGGGCTTCCGCTTCTGGGCCTCTGAGTCGGAATCGGTTTCATCATCGTTGTCCGCCGAGGCACGGAGCTTTCCTTTCGCCTTTTCTGATACTGTCACCGCAGGCCCGTCTACTGAAGGAGTTGACAGGCTAGTAAGGAGTCAGCACAACGGGTAGACCAACCGAACAGGACGAGGAAGGAGACCCCACCTTCGAATCAAGCACATGTACAGAGCCTTCTTCCGCTTGTTCTCGGAGTCGACGCCGTTCAGATGTCTCGAACTGCGCTTGATGGGGATGACTGTGACTGGCTTCGACGAACGGTCGTGGAGGCGGAGTTTATCGGGGCGAATCAAAGACGCCTCGCCGCTGAGCCTGAGAGGAGATGGCCCAGGTTTTGACCACTCAGTAATGTCTTCGTCGTCTTCCACGACTTCGAACTCAGACTCGTCATCGGCGTCTTCGCAGTTGCCGTCAAAAGGGGAATCGATCTTCGTCAGATGAGAGGTCGAAGACAGCACATCGTCGATCTCGGCGCTGAAGGTCTCCTCGGAGACGTCTTGAACAGATGACTGTTTCTCGCCATCGAAAGAGTGAGCACTCTCGCCGTCGGAGAGCATGGCCTCTTCTGCATCAGATGAGGGATATTCTTCATCCGTATCACTTCCGTACTCGTGATCTTTGCCTAGAGAAGAAGAAATTGAGTACATCCATCTCGCTGTGACCACCAGAGACGTACTTGAGTCCATTTCATATCCAAGCGCGCGGTCAATGTACTCTCCTACGTTGTGAGTGGATGGAGCCCCTGATCCATACTTTCAGGCATTTTCAATATGCAGGGGCGGGCGGTAACTTACCACCGGTCCACCTTGGATCAAACATTGCTGTGTTCGTTACAGAGCGAGGAGTCGAGAAGCTACGCGCCCGTTCTGCAGACAAGGTCGTAGATAGGGAACATCATGAGGCAGGCGCATGCGCTACTTGGTAAGTCTGGTTGAAAAGCACCAGAGAACAAGGACCGAAACACACCTTCATCAAGAGGCTTTGCTCGCTTAGCAGACGTAACCACAGGACAGTCGTTCTCGTCTTCCCTTCTCCGTTTGATGGAGCTCACTCGAATGTGCTGTGTGGATGGGAGAGCATATACGGGTTTCGGAATGTTCTCAAGCGGAGTCGATAGCAGAGGGCAGGTTTGCCGGAACTGGGAGGACGACCCAGAGGAGAGTGTCGGAGGGGTCATCGGCTGAAGACTGTAAGGGTAGACGAGGCCACAGGTCCTCGGATGGCCTTAGAAATGGAAGTTTGTGGGAAGACTTCGTCGGATAAAAGGTCAATAGGAATATAGGAGAATGTGGTCAAGGGAGGATTGGAGTTGGTTGTGGCGAGTAGACGCTGAGATTGAACAACCTTTGTGGGGGCGCCTAGACTTTCCGGATGACATACCGACAAAGCGGCGTCGGGTCGGCCCGACTCTTGCTAGCGAGTCGGCCGCCAGTCTTCCCATTACATTCAACAAAAGGAGACAAGTCCGGCAGAACTCCGCCGCAGACTAATCGTCGACCCCGAACTCCACTGCCGAATTCTCTTGCTGAATTTCCGTCAGTCTCCTCTCTACGATTGGTATTCAGCAGATGGCGTACCCTTTTATGAATCCTCATCCAAGGGAAGAGACTTCTTGCAGATATATCACCCCGTTAGCACCCAGATGGGGGGATATAGGCTTCGCCCTGGCTCTTCAAAGCATCTCGCATCAAAGCGGTATAGACGATCGCGGAGAGCAAGTTGTGGAGAGTGTCAAGCTTTGAGGACTTTTCTAGAGCTCTATATCAGTGTATCATATATAATGGGCTCCGCATACTCACCACTAGCATTGGTATCGAGAACCGGGCAGGTAGTGTTGTCCGGGAGAGATGTCAATAGGGGTCCGAAGGCTAGTCGAGCCTCCAAGCTGCACAGAAGAACATTCGGATCAGTATAGGGCAGGAAAATCCACTGATTCATTCAGCCTCAGCTTCGGTGATATTCCAATACCTAAAGGTGTCTGCTAGGGTCTCGCTAGTACTAGGAAGAGCTGGGATACATAGGTCGCTCTTGTCATACAGCAGCGTAGCTATATGTGCTACGGCAGTATCGTGAACTTCGTAGCCATCGAGCCTAAGGGCCATCGTATAGCCAGACATCGCGTTCGCCCACCTGGCACGAAGGCAGGCCGATCGCAACGCGCTTGAAAGAATCACTCAAACCGACGGCACATCTCCTGCAATACTCATACCATGCAGCGGGGTGCGTTACCTTACAGAGCGTCGTACCCTTAAGCAGAAAGTAAATCCACTATTTAGTCGCAGGAGACATTCACAGGTTTGCAAGAAATTTACCTGATTGCGCTAGCATTGCAGTTGAAAGGCGCGGAATGCCGGGGACTGCAAACGTTGGGGCAAGGACAGTCCTCCAAGTAGCTTTTTGCTCCCTGAGAGACTTTCTAGGACTTCAGGTGTTCGGCATCTGTCCGAGTTGTGGGTGCATCGCGGTGCACATCCTCGAACGGTTTGACCTTGAAGATACTGAGGACGACGTGGGTGCCCATATTAGACGCTGGTCCTGTGGCCAATAGGAATGCGCTGAAGTCCAGTCGCCACACAAGTTCCTCAGCAGACCATCCCGCGCGTGATTGCTGGCAAAATATCTACCTAAGGCTCCATTCATATGAGTTGGGCAGAGGGGACCACAGGAGACAAACCTTAAGCTTCATAGCGATGCATGGGAGTGCTGGATTGTGCGACATTCCCAACAAGGGTTGATGGGTTGAGAACGACAGGCTATATTTGTTCGGAATGCTGACAACGACCGAGCTACAAAGGCACATGCCTGCCATAGGTAAGGTATACATGCTGATCATCCTAGTAAAGGTGAGACAAGGGTGAATCGTTCAAGGAACGTGGCAGTGTTAGGCAAAGGGCTGAGGTAGGACACGATACGAGAGTGGCATTTTGACGCAGGACTTTCCAATCGTCCAAGAGAACCTCAGAATTGGGATAGCGGACTTTGAGAACCCATCAAGTGAGAACCATCGTCCTGAATAGGCCAGCCGGTGCCTAGTAAGTCATGAGGTCCGCATCCTCTACCACGATCATCTCAGTCTGGTCAGGGTACATCGGAGTGGTGTATAGCGCAACATCGTATCCGCGCTTCTTGGCTTCACGTTCTTGCAAAACCCTGTATAGATCATCGCGCTTTGCAGCCAACCAGAACGAAGAGCCACAATAGTGCTGTGCGTAAGTTGCTAGCTGTCGTATCGGGCACTTGCGCCAAGCTCCGATAGTGCCGCAGTCGATGGTCCAGTCACATCTTTGAGGGGATGAGTCAAGACGCAGAAGCGGAGGTAGTTCAGGCACGCCGCCCGAGGGATTCGCTATATGACTGAACAGAAGAGTCAGAGGCAATATGACGACGCCACCCGGGGACAAACAGCGGCGTACCACATGTCCCGTAGATAGTCGAGCCGTCTCTGGCGAAGGGTGCGTGGACCCTCCGCGTGATGGCAGTCTAGGCAACGCTTCCGCCTGAGCTTGGGAGGTGTTCCCGGTGGGGAGGGGTTCGCAGGGCGCTCCTGCATGCCATGGTCGGGGACAGGCAAGCCGGGCGGCCGGGGGCCTTGTAGGTCGCATTGCCTGTCGGCGGACAGGATAGAGTTCCTGGCATGAGACGTACCGCAATGGGGTCTCTCTCCGTTCATGTATTCTTCCATGACAACGTCCGGAGAAACTGCATATTAGGGGATCAGGTGAAATACGTGCGTATTATAGGAGACGCCACCCACCGATCGCCAACTGAGGCAAAATGCCGCTGAGAGACACGTTCACTTCCGTTGTGTCCCCACTGTCATGAGCCAAGCTCATGGCTAGTGATCAAGAAGCGCTGTCCAATCAGCCACGCAAGCTACTAACGATGCCGACGACACTGACCGGGTGGTTTGTACGTCGGATCATTGGCTGCGTCAGCATCCCGCGGGGCAGATGAGACAGCGCCACACGGAATTGCATCAGACCGGATGAGCTCCTCAACTACACGAGACACTGACGTATGAGCGGACGACTTCGGGACTCGTACGACTATGGTTGAGAACGTACGCAGTGTCAGGCCGTCACTGGGGACTAAACCCGCTTCACCCCCTAGACTAAGGATACCTGGAGTCTGAAGTCTTGAGCGAGTCGGCGTCATGTTAGGAAGTGTTACCAGTGGTTCGAGACAACAGTGGGGGAGCAGTAGAACGCCGCGCCACAACCAGGATTTTGATTTCAAGAGGCATCGGTAAATGTTGGCAGCACGCAAAGCGGTCAAGCGACTTTCGAGGTCGGATTGATACCACAAAAGGTGCCATGGTAGGTATGTCGACGCGTGTCACCGCTTCCCGGTGGCTCAGGGGTGTAGCTGTATTGTCCACTCATAAAGGCGCACCCGAGGCGTCAAACTGATAGGCGGAGGCACCAGTCAGGGTAAACCGTGACATGGACTCGAGAAGCTTGAACGTACCTCGCCCAGCTGACCGTCGCGCGAGAAGGAATGCAACAAAGCTGTGACGACAGTCTAGTAAGAATTGCCGGCATTGGACGCCTTCGTTTGAGTCATAGCAGAACTTACTGGAACCTGGTGTTGGGCAGGGTGGGCGATGAACCATCATCGAGAGTAACGGGGATGCGCTCAGTTTTATCATTCTGAGATAGTCGGCCGAGAGTTGAGCTCGAGAGGAGCCTGCAAAGCAATGCAAGGAGAGAGAGGTCAGGGACGTGCAGGTAACCACAGCATGGCATGACAGGGTGACGGCCGTGGACGCCGACGTCGTCGCCGAAGACACGAAGCGCCGGTTGCCTCTAACCCCAAATCAAACATCGTCTCTGCAGACTTGGTTCCTCCGATCCTCCATTACCCTCCATCGCGAAGTATATTCACGTCCTCTATGCTCGATGCCCTCCAGTGAAATAGGACTTTCGTTGGATTCGACTCGCTCGCCCCCAGTCACGCCTCTCCCAGCACCCACGACCGTTTCGAGCCGGTCGCTGCGTCCTCGCCGATCCCGCGGAAGATCTTCAGCTCGTTCATCTGCTGTCTCATCGTCTCGCTCGCGTTCACACTCTGTCGCTGGTGCATCTCAACCCCTATATCATGAAGACGCGGACAATCCTGAAAGGCGCGCGGAGCCACAAGATTTTACCTTGAGACATATCGCTACGATCTCAGAAGGGTCATCTGTCGACACTGACGCAAGTATCACGCATGTTGGAGCTGTGAGTAGTCCTTCTGTCAAAGGACCGGGAGGGTCTAGTATGCAGGCGAAGAGAAGGCGCTCCGTATCCCCCGTAGCGGATGGTAGCGGGAGCGGCGGGCGTAGGGGAAAGCGGAGGGTCCTGCAGGACACAGGTACGCACTGACTTCTCCGTACACCGGAGCCGCTCTCGAAGCGCTAAGTATGGTACCAGGTCTACCGGCTGACAGCACGATCGAACAAACCGAAGAGTCGACTCCGACATGTGTATCGCCGGAAGCTACGTCCGTGGTGGGCAGCCTAGAAATGTCCTTCCCGGCACGACGAGAACCAAATGCCACCGAAACACCCGCTGCCCAAATTTCAAAGAATGCCCACTTTGTCTCGGATGACCCACAGACCGCATCCGAACGTTTGGTGGAGGAGCGCAGCTCAATCCCTCGTGCACACGATGCCACCAAGAGTACATTCCCATCCGCAAGCGGCACGCTCAATACTGACGGGGCTGGGCCCAGCTGTTCACTGTCACTCGAATATTCCACGATCCCGCCTCTTCCCGGCATGTCCACTCGCACCGAGTCTCTTGCTCAGGCTGTGGACCAGGGTCTACTGCCGTCTTCCCCACGGCAAGAGTCCATTGACACTCCCACCACGCTAAAGGCCAACGCTCAAACAAGCCGCCTCTCTGACACAGTGCCAATCGATGAAGTTGAGCCTCTCGCAGCGTACACGTGTCCGATCTGTTTTTCGCCTCCAACATTTGCTACGATCACCCCGTGTGGACATGTCCTTTGTGGCGAGTGCCTGTTTACTGCAGTAAAGACGACGATCCAGCGAGGAGCGTACACTCTTCCTCCGGGTGAGCGGATGACAGCCAGGTACGCTCTCACGTTCGTGCCGCTGTCAGCATCAACATTTACGAAGGACATCATGCAGATGTCCCGTGTGCAGGGCGCCCATCCCTGGGTGGGATGGGAAAGGTGGAGGTGTTATAGGCTTGAGACCGCGAGCAGTCTTTAGTCTGTAGTGTCCGGTCGTGTTCGGACTCATCAAATTCAAAAGGTTAGTCATTCAATACCGATGTGCTTTATCAGCGACCAGTTGCCTAAGAACAGTCACTCCACCTCGCTTCCTGATTTGCCGTCCAGCCTTCGGGTTACAAGCACGCGTCAAACTTGTGTCCGACCTCGGAAATGGGAGGTATCGATTGGAGCTTCTGCCTCTTGGCCCTCATCGTGGTTTTCCACGACTGATGAACGTGGTCTACTCTTGGCTTCCTGGAACAATCGAGTCATTGGCTCCCACGAAGCGATTAGGATCTCGTAATGCCTTTTGCTTGTCACGCGGTATCTACGTCCTCTCTTTATAGCTAATGTGCTTTGACTTCTATTCTTCGCGGAGTCGCAGTGCTCACGTAGTGCAGTAAAATCTATCACTAATCATGGCTCATCCCTGACCGACGGTTTCACTTTATCTGCAGAAGCGGACTGTGGACGATGCTTTGTTGGAGCGGTTCCAAGAGCATCACGGCCTTTATGGTGCTTCGAGAAGCCGTGTATCACTAGCCGAAATAGCTGAACCCATACCGGCACCCTGTTCGTCGTTTTACTAGCAACGTGCTCTAATGAGGCCTCCTCAGTCAGCTCTGCACAGGAAATGCGGGAGAAGCTGACGAGATCAGCACAATGGGTGACCCAATCGTACTGTAGCTTCTCATGTCCGTATACATCATTGATTATTGGCTTCGTTCACAACAGGGGCTGACAGGTCAAACGCTGTTCATGCTTCTAGCTGCGCCGGATAAGTTCCAGAAACGCTGTTCGACGTTTGAGACGCCAATGCACGCGCCAAATCGTCGGGCGGAGAACGGTGTTACTGAGGATTGTGTCATCGCGCTATGCGGCCGGAACCGGTCACCGGGACGGTCGTTCGTCTACTCAGCACTGGTGTGCATCGTCGGTGGCCCGTTGGCATTTCTAAAGTTAACTCTCGAATAACTATAGCTGCTGAGGAATGCGGTCCATGTACAGTACTCCATCATCGGCGTTAGGGACATTCGTGGCTATGGCCCTTCCTCGACGACGTGATGGTTCCCGGTCCGGCAACGGACGTCGCGACCTTCATGACGACCGAGATCAACCCAGCGTCGGACCAGTGCTCTATGCCGCCCCGAGCAGGCATGTGAGCCTCATGACAAACGAGACGACGTCGGGTCGCAATGTCGAACAGCGCAACGTCCACGCATGTTTGAGCTCCCCAGCAACCAGAAGAATTCGGCGTCGAGCACACTTTGAAGACGCAGATCATGATTTGGCGCGCTGTCGAACGTCTGTTGCGGTCCGACACTGCGTCGGTCCTGTACAGCCTGATTCCCGCGAATCAAGTCGGTGCTGATGTTGTCCATTCTGAGGCAACGCGCAGATCGAGTGGCTCCGCGATCAGGCCGCTGTTCCTCTGTAGCGTCAAAGTCGAAGCATGTGAGGACACTATTGTGCCTGCCAATATGCCATGACCAATGACGAGGCCGGCTCGCGCTTCGGCAGGTCACCCACGGTTACTAGAGTATTGAAAACTCCTCTATCCGCTGTTTAGATGCCCACTATGAATTAGGAAGAGTGAGGAACAGTATCATCGCCCTGTGGCTATATGGGGGGACCATGAGTTCTCCGGCAGAGCGGACGTCCGCCTTTGCAGGAAATTGGGTTTCCTCACCAAGGGTGCGAAATTTTTTGCCGAGATAGAGCATGGACAGCCATCAGGTACGCAGTTGAGCGCGTTCCTTCTATGGGATGTCGATGTCACTCAAAAGTTATCTCCTGCCAGGCAGCCGAGGCCATAGGCAGCCGGAATGTCATATGTCATGAACGACATACAGTGTCCCACGCCTTACCGGTGCGGCAGTAATATAGGTCAGGCTTATCCTCCAGAAGCGGTTATTTGAGGGGAGAGATCATTTTCTGTACTTCCGAGCTGCGTCTAGACCACGTCGCCGCGCTCTCGAATGAAGACCATAGGTTGTTCCGCGCTTGCAGTATCAGCAAACGGTCTCATGCGGTCGCGGATTTGTGTCCTCTTGGGATGATCACTGGGAACTCGGTGTCACTCCGTGCGACTCCAGGCCACTCGGAAGTCAAGAAGCTGTACGGCATCCCGCCCCCGAACGAGCGCCAGGGTTCAGCCCACTCAAGTATTCAAGACATTTAGTTCGTCTTTCATGCCGCCATTCATCTTCAGCGAATTCATGTTTCTTCCTGTGTGGTGGTGTTGTTTCACCTTGTGCTTCTCAGCTATCTGTCGCCGCAATGGTAGGTGTCTATCTCTAGGTTTTGCGAAATTAACGGGCACTTGCTTTCCAGCCAGCTTGTCTTGTCAGTTCCTTGGGCGCACTGGTACAATAGGACCCCCAGACATAGCCCTGAGGTCGAAGCTGCTTATGGGTATTCGATTTCGTCCTTGTCTTGCATGTGGATTCATTCTCACGGATTAGGAATTTATGGCTAGGTTACTGGAATGGCCCCTCGGTGCGGAGTTTCGTTGGTTCTGTTACAGCCATGTGTCGCCGCCTTCCACGAAACCGATCGGAATTGGAACTACTCAGTAGAGACTTGGTGCACGTCTGTAAGTGCGCGCACCGTTTATGCGAGGTACCTCGGTGAGCAAAATAGTACATCGTTATCTACAACCGACGTAGCCGCAGTTGAGATGTCTGCAGCTGCTGTCCTCTACATTCTCTTGGACTGAGATAGCCGCTAAAATTGGAGCGCCATCCAAGGGCTACACGGCCAACATGACACCGATCTGTCTCGGGTAAAGTTATTCAGCCGCGTCGGTTCGCGGACAAATTGTACCCTCACGAACTGATTCCCTTCTGGTATCCCCCTTGTCTCCGGATACATGGCATCTTCACTGCACTGGCAGGAATAGTGATCAAACTTTGTTGAACACAGGGCACGACATTAGTCTATCATGTGTCATTTCATGCTGCTCAGTGTATAGCTTTCCGGCCGCGTCATAGTTTACAATCACATATTTCCTCGGTGACTGTTCATGAGTAGCCATGTTAGATGACGGCGGTATACAGTAGCCAGCCTGAGCTAGCTGCCTTCAACGAGATTTGGTGATCTTCAGGAAAAAGGGCCTTGCAGGTGTCAAACCTCCCTACCACGGGGGGCGTACCCTGGGCATACCTCCTAGCATCAGGAAGTGCGTCAGATGTTAAACGAGTGCCATTCGAGTTTCAAGGTGGCTCGACGATATTGACCGAGCTTGTGCCCCATACAGCCCTGCCTCCGTCATTGGGTTACCCACTTCATTAAGTAGGCATGCTTGATTGCGTGCCCACTCTGACCACGCGACATGAGAAGTGCTATGACCCCCTAGCATAGCAAGGTCCCACCTCCCTTCATCGCCATCGAACCTATTACAGCCTACGTCCTCCCTTCGGATACCCTGTTGCCATCTGGACCGGTAGGCGGAGTTCAAACACTAAGTTCTGCCAACGAATCTCCTGCCCTTTCATCGGAAGCGAGATGGCATGACTTATGGTCGAGCATATACAGATCCGACATCATACTCCGAGGAGAGCGTTCCGCTGACAGAATGACGGTCTTCTGTCTGCGCGCGCGGAAGTCGGATGTGTAGACGAATACCGACCTAAATTGTTTTCATTGATAATAGCGAGATTCCAGCAAATGCGCAACGTGAACAAGGTATTCCGCACTTGCTCCTCCGTCGATCTCGGGATGATGAGATTTTCACATGCTTTCTACCCACTTGCTTGCAGGCGTCCATGAGTCCGTGGTGACGTACTTACATTGTATAGCACCCCTCACCGCTGGGCCATTTCAAGTCGAATGAGAAAGCCTTGGATCAATCCCCCGAAGCACATGATCCTACGCCGGGCGCCACGGTGATCGAAAGTTCGTGCATGGCCCGCCTTCGCCCGTAGGTAGGCTGTGCTCTACTTTAACAACGGAATTGACGACACGTTGGCATGACTTCTGACGGCTCCAATGCGTAGTAGACACGAAAGACGTTGTTATTGGGACTTCGGCTGTGAGCAGCGAGCACGCAAGCGACAACACTCACGGCGCCTGCTGTAAGGCATAGCAGAGCTGCACTTGAGTTATCATCGTATAGAAGGCTACAAAGATATGTCCGAATCGTGTTCATCGTACTGACGATCACGGTGTTTCAGCATCCCGAGGGGAAAAACGGACCGTGCCCAGCTTCTCCCGGAGCGGTCCGGTGAGGGTGCTGGGATCGCAATGGGCAGGAGGCGCGTCAAAAGTCACACTCTTCTTGATGGCAGATGAGCTGTCAGTGTTCCAGCAGTGATGATCGCGATATCGTGCGCAATATCTGATGCATTCCAATGTCCAAGGATATATCAGGTAACGTAAACGCTCTTGTCCGACCTTGTGCGATGTTACTAGGTTCACCAGGAATGTAAAGCGCATGAACGCTACACGGTGTTCATGTCCTGGCATCTAGGGTACAGTGCAGTTTTCGTGTACATGTGTCTTCCGTCCATGGAATCAGTTGCGGTCTCTCCTGCTGGCATATCAACTGTGGGATATCTCCTGTAGACTCTCGGCCCAAGATAACATACCAGGGTGTCTGCCTTGGAAGACGGTGGTCATTCAAAATCAAGCGGATCTGTACGTGTGGCGGTCACCCTTTGCGCGATCAAGCCCGGCGATGTGCAGATATACCCGCTGGTGGCTGAGAACGTAGCTTTCCAGTTGAACTGCCTTCTGGTATGATGGCTTCGACGACCGGGTTCGGACCAACTTACAGAATTGGAACACTGCGGCACGAAAAAATACGATGAGAATTGCGTCTTATCGAGCTTTTGTCAGACACGTTCCCGACCAGGACGTTGCATCGAGCCGTGCTGCAAGGCATTAAAGACACAGATAGTTTCAACACAGACTCTTTCTACGAAAAACAGACTCCCTGCTGTGAGCTGCGAGTATAGTCGTAACGTGCTTGCACATCGTGGCAGAGGTCAGGAACGATGTACAAAAATGTGGCGTGGGAACGTTTACCGCCGAACCTGTGCAAGCATCGAAGGCGCTCGGCCGCTGTTGGCCCGGCGGCGAACCCTCGAATGTGTCGCAAGACAGTCAATCAAGGCGGATCAAATGTTGTTTTGTCGAGACTGCGTATAAGATTGCCGCTGATCTCTTGGTGCGTTCAAATTTGGAGCTGATCTTGGTGAAGCTTCTGAAACTCACCGCTCCAGCTTGAAAGACTCGAGCTCCAAGTTCAACTCAGGCACTGAACCTGAAGTCCCACTTCAATCGCTTTTTGCTCGCTATCAAAGCCTCCGTGGACAGAGGTCACGCCTGTCGTTCCATGATTTCTCCTGTAAGGAGGATCTGGCTTCCAGGAGACCTACGGCAGCGTCACTAGCCTCACCTGATGGGGATGATGCTGGCGTTGATGGGACATCATGCATTTGTTGGGGTGAGAAGGGGCGCCGGCTAGAGTCCGACTGACGGCCGCTGAGTCTTTCCACGATATCTCGCTACAGTTGCCACAAACGTGAATGGGGTAGAGATGTGCGCCATAGGGGCGGGGGTAAAACCCAAGGGAACAGCGAAGAGCCGTCTCGTCGCATGCGTTTCATGGTGCTTCCAATCGAGTCATGACAGCGACTGCTACTGCAACCGTTCTTCAGTTTGAACAGGTCGGTGTTGTATATGCAGAGAGGATGGTTTCGGCATGGACACAACATCACTTCGCAACAATCTGCCAGACGAGGACGTCGTGAATCGGCTTCTGTCACGTCGCGGTCCACATAAGGTAAGCGGTCATGATGGGGAGAATTCCGCGCTCGCGGGTCACGAATAATCCGACATTATGACAAACGTCGCTAAGCTTCTCCCGTAAACCCTCCTTCAGGCATTTCCCATGATTGATCGCACCGGCCACATTTACATCGGTCTCTCAAATCTGGGCAGTGCACATACCTAGTTGCTGTCCAACCATCAACTCGTTCTGAGAAGTGTAAGGGTCCGTGGATGCGCTCCCACAGCACTCGAGGCTAGCACAAAACCGTCGACCGGCAGGTCCATCTTCCAACTTCTTCTCCGCTTCCGCGCCATTCTGGCCCTTGTCCCTTTCCACTCATCCGCCACGTCCGCCACGCTTACGATCCCGGCCCAAGACGATATACCTTCTGCTATGCTGACTGACGATCTGCCTTGGCCGGAGCTCGGAAATGTCTCGCGCGGCGCCACGAGGGGGAACCAAGGCCAGAAGGGCGTTCTTGGACCTCCCGACAATGAAGGGCGATGTCTCCTACAGCTTCGCGTTCAGCCCGGCGTACTTGCGGTCCGACTGAATCGCCAGGCGAGCGATTGGTACCGCACGCTGGACACCGAGGTGAATCGCGCGTTGAAGCTTACGAAGACATACTGGCGGAAAGCGCGGCGCCGGCAGGACTACGACGCGCGCGCGGACCAGGATCATATGGAACTACACGAGTGGCTACAGCAACTCAAGGACAAAGTCATGTCACACCTCGAGGTGCTCATGCAGAAGGGGGAGATACAAGGACCGCCATACCTCATGCCCGACAACATCGAGCTTACATTCCTGCGCAAGTTCATCGAACGACAAGCCGCGGGCATTCCACACAATCCCCGCTTGCGCCGCGCCCTCGGTCAGAACAGGCCGGGCGGCGGCGTGGACCAGCAGTTGTCCTCCAAACTCTCCGTCGGCTCCTCTCCTTCAATCTCCCTTGCAGGATGCATAGGCTTCTCCGAGAAGCGTAAGTGCGATCTTTGAGCTTTTGGTATCTTCAATATGTCGTTAACATCCTGTACAGAAGAATCTCATGAAGACGACACCACCCCCGGCGACGGCGCCGAACAAGCGACATCGCATTCTCTACTAAACGAAGTAAACCTGAATCGTGAGTGGTGCTCAACCTCTGGCCTGCAGCCACTGAGCCTGATTATACACATTCAGGGCGTAATCTTGCGAGCGCACGGGCTGCATTCTTTCGCGCACAACGGGAGACCCAGGAGTCGTTCGCGCGGTATACCTCTTGTCTGGAGGCCGAGGCACAAGCCCGGCAGCAGTTGAGCATGCTGGAGGAGCGTCGAGACGCGCTGAGTACGTTATTGGCCCGATTTGCCTTCATATCCTTCCTGACGCCTTGCAGTGGCATCGCTAGCCGAGAGCTTCCGCACCGATTACATGGACTGTAGGTGGCTGGGCTTTCAGAGTGGTTCTGGCTATTTACGCCGCTGTCCACCAGCACCAGACGGCTCCAATAAACATTCTCCTCTCATAGATGACATTCAAAACACCCTCGAGCGTTCTGACTCGAGAGCGAGTACATCACAATCGCATGACGAAGTTATGAACGCTATGTAAGTCTTTCGTCCGGGCAACGTTGGCATACTGACCGAAATTTGCTACCAGACCAACCGGCCATGTGGCCTTGCAAGACAACGTCGCAGCATGGAAGACTATGAGGGATATGCAATGGTCTCACGGCGATGCCATGGCTGTCCCTGATGTCTCCCGAGGTCACCACGAGCTAGCCTCAGTTGATCAGGTACGCAGGCTGAATGTAGACCATGGAAGTCATTTATCCGAGCTTCCTATCTTTAGACGTTCTCGCCCGCCGCGCGGGGACAAGAGATGCAGATGAACGCTCTCGGCCAGATGGAACGCAAACACCCTCGGAGTTGGGAAGAGCTGCAGAGTACGTATTCTATTTCCCTTCCGCCCGATCGCTCACACGACGCCCTAACACTCCGATCTTGATCGCCCAGGCCAGACAGCGTTCGAAGTGAGTGATTCAAGACTGTGCGTAATAAAGCTATATGGTGTGACCCCTTATGATGACACTCAAGGATATGTCTTCTCTACCGCCCCGCAAACGCCACCAGATACCCGGCGCAGACTTCCTGGCAACTTCTCGGTCGGTATGCTCCTCAATAAGGCAATCTGCACTGGCGCCGCCTGCCCACACGGTGATGCGTATCGATCAGAGTGTCGCCGTTCTCTCCGGTGTGCCGCCCAACGCGGAGCTGAGCGGTCTGGCTTTATGACTCGGCGTGCGGCAGCTCTGAGTGCTCCTGACGATGTGAGTCCCGCGCCCTCCACGATATCTGCTGTCTCTCACACCCGTTGCAGCGCCTCGCTTATGATACATGTTTCACTTAATGCCTTCCCGACTGGACTCTCACGCGACCCTGCATCCGTTCGCCCGAACTCCACGCGCCCACTTCATACCTCGCAACCATGCTGCCGGACATTCCCTTTGTTTATGCATAACGTTATTCTGTGTTATGCTTCCCGTCTACTCACGTCGCTGTGGCAAATTCCGATGCTGTCGAGACATGGACTCTTTCATTCTCATCCATTGATACCGCCTTCTCACATCCTCACCGTAATGGTTTCTTCTGTAGATATTACTCGCAACTGCATGTCCCGTGTATAACAGATGGTCGAAGCCATGTACGCTCATTCGGTAAGCATTCTTCCGTTGGCTGGTGTGCTCTCGGACCTGAATCGAGGCTGCAGGATAGACTGTAGCACTGTCATTCCTTGCTTCCATTCGCCCCAATTTGATGTTGTTTTACTAGCATACGTGTGTTCAGATCCGTATTTGCTCTACAGAGGTCACCTTCTCTATAATTCGCTTGGCGTGATCGATTCGGTTTCCTGTGTCAAGCGCGGCATGTAGTCATGAGCTTTTGCGGTAGCTACCACCCTTGCTTATGGCGAAAGCGTCATCAGATAGTGCGTCGCCGACCATTGCAGACCCCATCACAGTAAGTCGTGTGCTGCATCCTCGAACTATCGCCTGATGACACCACCGACCCCTCTGCGAACACTCACTTTACGGCATCTGTAGCAATTTGACGGTGAGCTGGGTATTTTACGGCTACTATGCTTTTGTGGCGATTGACGAGCTTATTCGGCATTGGTTATTGGTGTGGAATCAGTGAACAGTACCATCCCGCTGGTTAGGGTCCACGGCGCTTCGTTATTGCTTCCATATCGAGGGACTTGGGGCCCCGCAGGACTAATGCTTCCTTGCGGGCTGTTCGGAGGGATCTGATATATACAGACAACATGGTTCGAGAGTACTAGGCATAGCCTTAGGCCATGGAGTCTGCTGGATCGCAGGACGCGGGCTACGCGACCTGGAACGGGTTTGCGCCCATCATGCCGCCTGTGCGATCTGATCTGACTACTTCAGCTTGCACGATTACTGACCACGGCCGAGACTACATTGTTGGTCCATCCGTGCCTGTAAGCGGAATCTCGCGGACACTATCAGTATCGCTTCGCCCTCATCATGGTAGAGCATGCGTTACACTCAGCATCTAGAAGTGCTGGAAGTTTCGTGAAGTCCCAACTCCACCACGGTCCCACCCTCGCCGATCTTCCTAATCACTCCCGAAGGGAGCGGACTCACCGCGGCACCGTAGGCACCCGAAATTCGGCGCAACATGCCTTCTTGAACGTTCGGAGGTTTTTGCTGCGACCAGCTCGAGAGGCCCTCGATGACGATGTGTCACCTACGGGAGTGACGGAGATTGGGGCCACATATGTATTGCGAATCACTGTTCGACACCGATGTGCAGAGTCGGTCATATCGTCGCTCCGTTTATTCGATCGCTCATAGGGTGCAACGAGGCGTGAGTTGTGCTGGCTTTGGGTGGGTATGTGGCTGCCTACTGCGCGGCTGACGACACGGGTAAGGGCGTCGGATAGAGTTGCCGGAGCTCAGCCGAAGCCTTGACTCGGGGAATGAGGCTGGGCGGCTGTGCCTTGCGATGTGCTTACATCAGCAAAATACTACCTCGAGGCCACCGTATTAGGTCAATCTCAAGTACTCGTGTAGACGGCGTGTTCGTGGTGTTAGCAGAGCTTTTCATGGCTCGCCCCAAGGTAGATGACTACCCCCGCTCTCTCCTGTGCAAATGGCTGTTCGTCTCGCTCTCCTGGGCACCAGCATGAAATTTTCCCCTCTCTGCCGGGCTTCGCATTCGTCAACGGTCTCGTCTCGATCCGCTGTACAGCCCCGTGTAACTTAATCTCGGGCCTTTCTCTTGCTTTGCGCCGGAGGGACCTTCATAATAGGTGGCCGTGATAATACGCTTTGACGGTACGCATGGGGCCGCATAGTCACAGCCGGAGCTTTAGCTTTACTTTTTCGCGTGAGTAGCACGTGCGCATGGCAGGAGAGATGCATATCCGACTCTTTCACTTTGTTCAGGACGATACTTATAGGCATCAGGCGCGCAGCGTACGCTGACAATAGTCCTTTCCCTCCCTCCCTTCCCTTCCCATCCATACCTTACCTGCGATGGCGACTCGCCGTGGACGTTTCCGAAGTACGTACTCGTTACTCTCTCGTCTGATCCCGAGCGAGCAATTAACGCCTTCTAGCCAAACTCTGCCGCAACTACGCGCTTGGTCATTGTCCACAGGGCGACAAATGCAACTACATCCACGTATCCCCCGAATCCATCCAAACGAACATCATTAGTCCGTTACTCCAGCCTTCGGTGAGGATAGAAAAAGACACAGTCAGGCTTTCCTCGTGCTGACGCCACTATGCCTATCTGACAGCTCAGCCAACGAAGTGCCGATGACCAGTTCTCGTCAACAACATTCTCTCCTTCGCTGTGGCCCACTATTTCTCCTGTGACGAATGCGAGCTCCGATCACTTCGGATATAACTGGGGCACGTCGACCACTGCAGTGGACACGAGCCTGCCACCTTCTAGGATGAAGTACAGGCCTTTGTCGTGGCGGACCACATTATGTAGACACTTCTTGAAGAGTCGTGGTTGGTGCCCTCTAGGCGAGGACTGTAACTAGTACGTGCTATACGACAACGAACATTCGCTGTTAACGTACTCATAGCGACTTCTTAGTATACACGATCTCACGCTGGCAGAATTCGCGAAGAATGACGTGCGGTTCTCACGTCGGGGTCCATCGTCGACGGCAACCGCGAAGCGCAACGAACGCGGTAAGGCCGGTAGTAAACATAGCCACTGCTGGGCCTACATCCAGGGCCTGTGCCACGTCCAAGACTGCCAATATCTGCATCCGGTTGCGGCTCATATGTGTGAGTGATCCAAGATGCAGTGGTCCGATGAGCTCATATGTCCCTAATGTACGTGTATCTCGAACAGTTGCAGCGCACACACCCTGCCTTGCTTGGCCTAACTGCCGTCGAGGACCGCTTTGCCCATATAAGCATCCCGAGCCGTACATCTCCAGCTCGCCTCAAGCATCACCCGTCCAGCATTATACGGCCATCCACCCTCCTCCTTCGCAGCCTGATACTGTTCCTCGCGGAGCGATGCTGCACAACGGTATGTTCTACTTCAACGTTGGGCAGCCGCAGCCGATGGCCCCCTCTATCCCCCAGCCTCCCGCGCCCCCACTGTCCGGACCACAGCCACCCGTGGTTTTCACGAACCCTTGGGAGACATGGCCAATACCTTTCACGCCCCCCGCGGGCATGACATTTACGCCTTTCGCCTTCAACCCCCCGACGTGGCAGGGAGTCGTGCCAGTGGGCCTGGCGGACTCGGGCGCCGGTCAACAACCTATGTTCTCCCCTGTTGCTGGACCTCAGCCTACGTTCGACCTCGCGTTCGGAGAACCTCGGCCAAGGCAGTCCATGGAACGACCGCCGAATCACCCCTTCCGTCCAGCGGAGGTGTCCGCAACGCAGAGGACGTCTTCATTTTCCGTCGCAGCGGCCCCTCCTGCACCTGAAACCGAGTTTCCGTACGTGCCGCCGAAGAACCAGCGCGTGGGACACGCGCGGCGAGTGAGTGTCACCATCAAGAGTAAAGAGGACCTCGACGCGCTCGGGCTAGACAGCAGCAGCTCTCACGGGAGGCTGCCGTGGCAGACACACGCTGACCGTGTCGCGCGCAGAGTGAGTGTCTAGATGTGATCATGCTTGTGGTCCTGGGAGCTGACTGTTGACTGCGATTAGAGCTGGGCGCCGTCGTCGTCGTCCTTCCGCACCGCCCAAGCAACTCCACCGCCGGTCCTCTATGGCTTGTAAATGATAGCACGTATAGCGTGCGTTAAGCGGTGTTCGTCGTCTCGCCATCGTCACATTCCACCGCCTTGGTCCCTTCTGCCTTATCAATCTCACTGGGCGGAATTGGACACTAGTCATCGTTATCTCCAACCTACGATCCCTCTGCTCCCATCTACAACGTTCCCACCTGGATATTCGGATACCATAATAGCGTTACAACGTTCCTCACGCCCTCATCTGATACACGCCGTTATGATGTTCTTAACGAACCTCCCGTCCATTCCTTGTTGACCTACTCTCTTTCCTCAGCCTGCTATGCGCGCGTTTCCTTTCGGAATAAACCGTCCTCCCGTACATCAGATCATCTCATGGACTCTGCAATCTGCAATTGTACTAGTTGCATCCTGTTGTTGTACCCGTCATTCATTGTACAATTGCGCACCACTGTTGCATACCATTCCAATGATACCTCATTTTATAATGCCGCGCCCAGGATGCAAGCATTCTTTCCTGTGGAGTACCTCTCATCGCCGCACCGCCGAAGTTCCATCGAGCCAGCGAGCGCAAATGATTTACGCGGGCGAGTCTCGAACTTGCGGACGGGCCGCTGGTGCTCATATCCGTCTTTGTTATTGCCACTTTGGGCTGGCCGAGCGCCTTGGTTCGTGGCCTTGTGGACGACGGTCATAATCGCCTCCAGAACTAGGGTATGGTTAGAAAAAGAATCGTTTTCGAACAGAGAGTTATGAACAGGCGCCCGAATCAGGCCGTTTCTAACCGGGATTAATAACTGTTATTAACTCTTGTGTTATTAACTGTTAAGAAGATTTTCTAACGCCGCCGAGGTTTATTAACAGTCGTATTGAATCGATGATCACCACGCGTCCTATCATCTTGCCTGGCTCGCAATCTGCTACCCTATCCTCATTGTAATCCTTGTCTCCATTATCTGGGTCGCACAAAAGCATGCGCAAGGCTTAGGCACGGAGATTAACCTCGCCATCTACCTTGAACTCGGTATCTTACGCCTACAGCCTCCGACCGGACTTTTGAACAATATATAACCGGGCTGATAGACCCCTGGGCTTTTGAACCGTTAATTAACATGTTAATAACCTGTTAATAAACACCGGGTTCATTATTCCGACTTTCAAACTTTACCCTATCCAGAACAAAAGCAGCCTCAGGGTCTTCCGTCCCGCAGCGGGTGCCTCTACCGCTATCATCTCTGGATCTTGAGGTCACACAGGTCTCTTTGGTTGGTCCCACATCGATATGAAGTACCGCCCAACATCGACCCTGCACGGCGACGTCCTCCTTGGAAATCTCCAACTTGAAGGCTCCGAGTCATTCCATCTGGACACATCCGCCAATGATATTCCGACTTGTTGTTTTTGATCCCTTTGTATCTGCCATGCATGATGTAGATATTGAAGACGTCGCGTGTCATGACATTGTCCTGCACAACACCCGAAGGCCCGTCCATCGGGACACTCAAGCTGTGGATATACTACGGCGATACGATGCATCACCGGCGTTCCGGCGTTGGGTGTACCTTGCAGCTACGTATAGTTCTTGAATTCACCGAAGATGCCAGAGAGCGCAAAGTAACTGGGCACGATGACATCCCAGTGAGGCAGAGGACAACGAACGTGCGGTACGCTCGTCATGCATCGTGAAAGCTTGCACACCAACAGCTTGGCCTGCGCCAGTCTTCTGGTCTAGAAAATGACGTATGTCCCGGGCCCTACGAAGGCCCAGCCGTCCTCTGCCTGGGCATGCCTGGAGGTCGCGTCGTGTCTTCGAGCATGGGAATTCTCTGCGATGATGATCACAAGGGCAATCAGCACGCACCAGAAGGTTTGTTGCAGCTCCTACGCATTGCTCGGAGTCTTCGATCCGCAATCCCTCTGTCTGGTGCCTGCTTCAAAGGTGTTGCGGCCTCCGCGAAGGCTTCGACTCGTTTGCCCAGTATATAATGATGCTATCCTTCGAGTATATCCATGGCACACCACTGTTTATGAGATCATTGGCGTGATGAGTCTGGGAAGGCAAGAATCATGTACAAACAATACCAAATAAATGGTCGAGGGGCAACGTAAGTATCATCGTGATCATGATGACGCCAGGCTGCCGGACAACCACAATCCTACTCTACTTAGAAGGATACGCTCTAGTATTGGGACCATGCCGAACTAACATACAAATTCCTGCTATTACATGGTAACCGAAACGTCTGATACGCGTTACAGTGAGATTACAGACCGTATGAACTCTCCAGAAGCTTTCCCACTAACATGCTCACGGTTTTGCCAGCTCGTCTACAAGAGGCTGAATGGTACCCTGGCAAGTGGGTCCCCAGCAATGGAGTCGGAGAGTGCTCGTAAGTTGCCTCCTAGTACTCTATACAAGAGCCAGTTGTCGCAGAAGTCGAAGAGCGAATCTCACAGGGTATCGGACGCGTTTTGTCGCCTAGACAGCGATAGCATGGCTCTACTCCTAGAACACGCCCTAGATGCCAAGAGTTTATGCCAACTCTGGTTCACATGCCGGTGGATTAGGGAGGCCAGCCTGCCAATCCTGTTTCGAAATTGCCAGGCGCTTTCACTCCATCCCGTCACTATGAGGTACTTCGTCCCTGAGACATTATGGCCGTACATCAGGTGAACCTTCGTCTCGCGTTGGACGAGCGAAATCCGACCGGTCACGACTACGAAACAGGTCTATATACCTACAATGTACCTTTCCATATTTGAGTACAGAAGGAGCAGTCGAAACAGCGGCAGTCTTTGAAGAGACTTACGGCGCACTCATAGACACGCTATCCCAGATGCCCAAACTCCATACTCTGAGGCTCAGCGCGTCGCAGGTGAACGGGATCCCTTGGGAAGCCATGCAGGCCATTCTTGCGATACCCCAGCTGCGAGCTCTGCACATCACGGGCACTCTCGACCGTCGCCTCCTGCACCCTCTCGAGGTAGAACGGCGTGCATCGCTGCCACCGGCATCCCCGACCTCCCTCGAATGCGCTCCCAGGCCCTACAGCGACTATCCGGGCTCCTCCCTCGCGCAGCGCCGGCTACTCGGAGCGCTGCTGCAACAACCATCCATCCAGCACGCCCTAGCGACGCTGGCCATCCCGGACGAGTGCCTCCCCTCTGACGTGTTTTGCTCCGCGCAGTTTCCTCGGCTTCGAGACGTGTCGCTGAGGGGCAGAAGGGGAGTCTGGGCGCTTTTGGCGGGGGAGCTGCACAATCCCCGCGTCACCGCTCTTGCCGGAATACCGAACTTGATCGCCCTCGAGCTGAACTTTGCGGCCCAAGAGACCCCGGGGCGCCAACCGATCTGGCCGGCCTCGAGTCCGTGCGCGACGCTGCCCTGGCAGCGTCTGCGCCACCTCTCAGTATCTTACCCAGACCCCGAGGATGAAGTGTATTCTCATCTCCCGACGACGCTTCGATCTCTGGCCTTGCGATGTTGGCCGAGGCATTACTTGCACCTGCCGCACGACGCGGAGGCGATGAACTGGATGGGATGGAGCTCGCCCGTCCTGAGCGCGTCAGAGATGCTGCGTATCTTGCGTCGCTGCCCGTCGGATCGTACTGACGCCCTGGAGATCGAGTATGTCGCGGACGACGACAACGACGAGGAGCTATTGCAATTCATCCCACAGGCGTTCCCGACCCCGCCGCCTGACTATATTGCGAGACCGGAGGAGAGCGACAGACGCAATGCCAGTAGTACGTCCCCGCTCTTTCTGTCCCCGCTCTTTCTGTCCTCGCTTCTATACCCGCCTCTGAAGAGGAAGAGCCCCGTATTGACGGCTAGCGACCATCCCAGCTTGCGATTGCAGACACGCTTATGCCCCTCAGGTCCCTCCGCGTCCTGCGCGTCCACCTCGACTTCCCGGACGCGCCCCACCCGCTCTCCGTCAACCACTTCGCAGGGCACTCGTACAGAGACCGCACGCTGGTCGACGTCGCATCCACATTCGCGCGTGCCCTCGCACCGGGGTCGAGCCTTGAGGTCGTTGCGCTCCTCCTGCGGAGGTTCACGCAGAACCGCTTCGTCGCGTTTCGCGTCGTGCGCTCCAACGACGGTGCACCCTTCGAGGTGAGACCGGTGGACAGAGAGGTGGAGGAGGGTTGTGGAGTCTCGTGAGTCTTCCTTCGACTTTGGCCGTCCGTCGACCGCTGTGCGCTCATCTGCGGATCTCCCGACGCAGGCTGGACGACGGCGATGGCCCGCGGTACAGCAGCAGGGGCGGGCTGAGGTTCATGCCGCAGACGTGTCGAACCCCCGTCGTCCTCCCCAACGAATTCTGCGATCGGTCCCCCCGCTCCATGATACGCGTTTCAGTGGCATCTTTCCCGGCCGCGAGCTATACGCCTATATCTGTAAATAGACCCAGCGCAGACCGCGAGCAGGCTCTCGCGGGCAGCTCGAACGTGCACGCCTTGCGCGATTCCTGGCAACAAATTAGCGCCGATCTATCATTGTTGGACGAGCGGGCTCGCACTGCTGCAACAAGCCCGAGGCGTCCCCGATACATACTGTATAGCCGAAGCCTGTGCAGAAGCAGCCCGGCTGGCTTCCAAAACGAGCGATGGAGCCAGGATCCAGGGCCACGAAGCGTACTGACTGACGGGATCACCTTCCGTGCCCGATGGGCCTGTCGGCATCGACAGATGGACTCGCGCTCCTGGAGATCAGGGCTGTACGCGGTGGTTCGTGAATGCTCCCGGACCGGGGCTGCGGGGCGTGCGCATACATACATACACCGGGGGCGTCGACCTGTGGCACGCCGTGTCCCATTGTGAATCCATCGTCACCCCAAAATTGATATATAATCATCACCTGGTTGGGCGTCCCATCCCAACCCCCTTTGTGAGTTTCGATAAAACCGTGTAATATACTCAATTGTGCAGGGTGGGCAGGTGCGGGATTGAGGTGGGACGCGAAGAGTCACGATGCCTGCATGATAAGCCACGGCATCCTATAGCTCAATGCCCCCGGTGACAGTCGTCGTCGTCAGTGGAGCTTGAGCGTGGCTGGGACGGGAGGGCCCAATCTGAATAGAGGCGAGCCTAGGGTGCCACCAGTCAGGATATGGGATTGCGAACGTCAGAATCCAGTACATACCTGCCCAGCCGGGCTGGTCGCAGTGCGCGATGGATATCGAAGTGAGACGGTGGACCGCATCGATTCGCACAAGGCCGTTCTACGATCGCACAAGGCCGCCGTTGTACGACGCCCGGCATGGGAACAGGAACGGGGAAGCTGGCAAAACTGCGCTGGCGCATTTCCTGTGCGAGCCCTCGTACGTGATGTGCCGTGATACGTTGGGGCGGGAGATCGTTGTCATCAGGCGACGGGAGACGATTGAAGGCAGGGGGAGGCGTGTGCATCATTTCGTCCTGACAGAGCGCATCGACAGAACTGCTGAGACCTAAGCGCATGCTGTGTATATAGCGTGATCGCCCGCGACGTCGAACGCGCACTTGGACGTCGTGGTGGACGGACGGGTTCTGCGAACGTGCAGCATCAGGATGTCACCGCAACATTCAGATGGGAAGCCCAGAGAAGGGCCCGGTCGTACGACGGCCACAAGGCTTTGTACGGCGCAGGTGGTTCCTATACAGCCTCGCTCGAGTCGAACGATCCGGACAGGGTCGAGGGGGGTAGTGCCGACATGCCCGGGGAGAATGAAGGCTGGTTGGGAAATTTGCCATGGGGACGTTGTTGAGGGACGCGAACCGCAATGGATGCCGAGAGGCTTGGGCTGCGTTCGTATCTCGCGAGGAGAACGGCCGGATATGGGTTAGCTGGTTTGCAGCGCACCCAGATCAGGGAACCGGAATCTATGTATAACGTCAATGCACTTGGATGAGGGCGTTCGATAGGAAGTGGAGCAATGTCGAGGTATGCTGGTCTGGCTGACTTGCGAAGATGGAGTCTAGACTTTGTGGATGTTCCTGGGCTAGCACGAGGTGCGCAGCAAGAATATGTAGTACCTTTTGGCGGCTGATATTGATCGAGTGAGGGGACGAGGTACACAATACATTTAGCGAGCGATCAGGAGTTTTGTACAGGGCTTTCCATTCTGAGCAGGGGGGACCCAGAGGCAGATTCCGTGCAGCGATCGGCCGCTCGCAGGTCGCACAAAAGCAGGCTTCTTTTCGCTGCTCGGACACGGGGAATGGCTAACCGGCAGCCCTATCCGTGCAGGGAGCGCCGAAGGGTGGTCCGTGCGCGGGGACGGGGGTCACGTGTGGGTTTAGGGGAGGCGTGGGCAGCTTACGTGAGGAGGGTACGTGGCGGTGATTGTAGCTTGCTGGCCAAGGCAGACTTCCAAGTCGCGGACGCCATTAATGTCGGAACGAGCATCATCGATATCCGATCTCGCACTGACATCCGCTTCCGTCTCCATCCTCCCGGCTCTTCCTCTTCTCAACTCGGCCGTCCCCAATATATCCAACGTAACCTTCTTTCCCCTGCCTCGCCTGACCCGCTACTCACCGCAGTGCTCGTCACCATGCCTTTTACAGTGTGTGCCCCAGCCCGTCTGTCAGAGCCCAAGACATTCCAGCAACAGCCCATCTCAGGGCCACACAACAATCCCCAAGTCCTCGCCTATCCACAGCCTCGCCCCTCTCTCCCTCCATCATGGCGCTCGCCGTCCACCCACCACCACCTGGAGACGGCCCCAGACGCTCGACTCGCATACGCGTCCGCCGTCAGACAACCCTCTCCCGATCCTCCTACCTCCTTACGCACACCCAGACTGCCGTCACTCGCCGCCCCTCCATCTCCCGCAGCCCCCAAGGCGCCGATCCGTCTGTCATCGTCGCCTCCTTCACCCGTCAGTCCAAATCCGGCGTACATGCCGCTTCCAATCACCCGTCCCGTAAACGTCACTCATACCACCACACCCGTATTCGCGTGAGCAGTAGCGACACCAGCACAGCCTCCTCCTCGTCTTCTGGAAACAACAAAGTATCGGCAAGGAAGCAGATCTCTCTCCTCGTCCCCCATCCGGACTCCGCCACTCCTGTTCTAGCAGGAACAAAGCGAAAGCGTTCTCAGAACCCCGCTGATCCTGTAGATCGCCTCGCGTACCAGCTTGTATCTGTTGATAAACATGGAGACTCCGTATTCCAGACACCCAGGCAGCTGCGCTACGCGAAGCGGCAGCGGCTTCTGACCTCCTTGTCCGACAATGAATCTCCTGCCGCCCGAGAACCTCCTGCCGGAAGGCAACGTGGGACGCATCGTGCTACCACCGTGAGTCATCTCCATCTCTTCTTTGTTCATCGTGAACAAACACCTTTCATTAGGAGGGACGCCTGCTCTCCGCCATTGCCCCCGCCACCCCTCGCCCATCAGAATCCCCTGCTTCGGATGAGCGACTACGACCCGACCGTCCTCCCACCCCTCGTCCGAAGACACCTGCCCACCCTGTGCCCGATGTCGTCCCAAATACGGAAGTTGCGCCTCTCCCTGCACCTTCCTTCACGGAGCGCCCTGCTCACTCTGTGGCACCAAACACCGAGCCCGAAGAGGCCGCCGAGCCCACCATCTGCCCATTCCACCGCCTCAAGCTCCCCCACCGCGAGCGCAGGCCTGACACGGCCGATACCGGTTTGTGGAAACTAGCGTGCCAGGAGCGTGTCGAGTACCTGTGAGTTCCCTTCCCGCCGCTCTACCTTCGCTCCACCGGTGCCTGTTTACGGCAACGACTTCCTTCTGGTTCCTTTGCATCGGTATCTTCTCTCATGCTGACCAGCTCTTCGCGCCTCGCAGCAAGGACACGTACCGCGAGATCTACGAGGCCGTCATCCACGCAGAGGCGCTTACTGCGCAGCGGCTGTATCCGCAAGCGCACAGCACTGCCTCCGACTCTGACGTCCCTCCATCCCCGGTCGCTTCGTTCACCCTCTACACGCCCTCGTCGTGCGCCGCAGCGGCGCGTGTCGATGCAGATGGGGACACGGACATGGACGCGGGATACTCGAGCGACTGGGACTCGGACGAGGACGAGGAGGAGAAGTCCGAAGCCGAAGACGACGACGACCTCCTCTTCGACGCGCACGCGCAGACGCACGACGACGGCCTCCACCCCCTCGACGACGACGGCGGCGCGCACACCGGCTGGAGCCCCGGCGCACAGGCGTTCGGGGGGCCCCGCGCCTGCCGCGCCTCGCGACGGTGCCCGTGTACGCGCTCGAGTGCGTCCCGGAGCAGACGGCGAGGAACGGCGTGCCGTTCATGGGCCGCGGGACGCCCGTCGACCGCGCGCGCCGCGCGGACTGGGCGGCGCCGGCAGTTGCGCTCCTTCCCCTTTCGCGCGCGATGGGTTTTGCGTACCAGCCATGGCTGCGCCAGGCGACGCCCGTGCAGGTCGCGAGTCCGCCGCAGGAGTTCTATGCGCCGCACCCGCAGACGCAGACGCAGATGCTCTACCCGGACATGGGCCTGGGCTTCGACCCGATGCAGATGCAGATAGATGTGCAGGCCCCAGTGCCGGTACCGATGCCCATGCAGATGCAGTACGCGCACGCGGAGTGCATGCCGTGGCTCGACCCCGCGCTCCGCGCCGAGTCGTCCTCCCCGTCGCCGTCGCCCGCCCCGCCGACCCCCACGCCCGCGTACGCGCTCCCGCTGCAGCAGGACTTCGCCATGGCGCTCCCGGACTACCCGTCCACGCCCGAGCTCGCCGCGTCCTCGTCCCCGTCTCCCGGCGCGTCGTTCTCGCTCTCGCCCCCTCTCTCACTTTCGCTCCCGCTCTCGCTCCCGTCGACGCCGGCGAGCCCGACGGGGTGCGCGTGGCACGCGAGCTTCCTCCAGTGCCTGCAGTCGCCGACGGGGTGCGCGCCGTGCTTCCCTCCCCCGTCCTCCATCGCGTACGCCGGGCCCGCCAGCCCGACCCCGCAGCACTGTGCGCCGTTCGCGGCGCAGGCCCAGACGCTGGAGCTGGCGGAGTTCGCGCCGCCGCGGCTCGTCGAGGGGAGCGTCACGCTCGGGCACGCGCTCGGCTGACGTCCGCGTCCCGGCGTGCAGGCTCTCTCTTGTTTATTCGTCTCTGTCGTATCGTATCGCATCCTGGACGTTCGGCCCGCGTACGCACGTACGCGCATACACCATACCATCGCCACCACCCCACCCCACTCGTCGCATTGCTCTGTCGCGTACAAAACACGCATCGTTCCCGTCTCTGTCTCTTTCTTGTCGCAGCCCATAGTAGCGCACGTCGCTCATCTCGCTCCTGCTGCAGGATCGATATACCTGTGTAGATTATCGCCTTCTCGTGTGTACCTTATCTGGATGTCGCTTGTGTATACCATACGCTCCGCGCGTTTTCTTTGGGTTTTAGTCATTTGTGTGCGTAAGTGTGCGAGCTGCATGCTTGACGTCGATGTGCACCGGGGCACGGGGCAGTATGTGCCAATCGGTGCTTGTTTGCCGTGCGCGTGTCCTATCGTCCTGCGCCCCTACTCTAATTCTCTACGATGGATGTATGACCTCCTTGTGCCTCCGCTGTGCACTCGCGGAGAACAGAACAGGAGAGCAAGTCAGCGAAGAAACCAGTGCCGTGGACGTGTCTGGCCGCGCGCAAGTTCCAGTGCACCCGAGGGACGACACCGGCATCGGCACCGCACCGCACCGCACAACGACGTGCCATCCCGGTCAACTCGTGCTTCTAATGGGAACCGACTGTGAGAGTCGATCGGATCCGGGGTGGGATCTCGAGACGGAGAAGGCAGCCGAGTCTCAAGCAGAGACTGGACGCGACGCCCCACCCCTTCCAGAATGCACGCCTCGCACGGATCTCTCCTACTCTCGGCAACCACTGCGCACGGCTTCGCAACCAGGATGTGGCCCCCGCTTCGTTTGTTGCGCTGCCCTCCCGCGACGATGGCTTCGGTTGGGGAGGAGCATCCTAAGGACCAGCACAGTGTACGCAAAGCCCAGCGTACCCATGTATGTAATCCAGCCTAGCCCCCCTCGTCGCAACACGGCAGATATGGCTGCACCCGAGGTCCTTTGCTGCAGATTTGCGTGTGGTCGGAGAGCGTGCTGGACTAAGCGGCACGTCTCCCCTTCCGAAGACGTTCCGAGCTCCGAGCTATGCACCTGAGGATTCAGTCTCGCTGGACCGTCGCGGCATCGCCGAAGCAGCAGGACCGGGCGTACGACGAGGTCAAGGACAAGTTGATAGGCCCCTCACAATTCACAACGCGGCATGCTGACAGTGGCTGGAAGTGACCTCCTGTGTGCTGCTCGTGTGCTCCCGGAGTAGACGGGACAGGCGAGGGGTTAGTCTATCAAGATATTCATGAACCCATGGCTCGTGAAACCACTAGTGGGTTACTGACGCCTGTAAGATCAAAAGCTCTGAGACTCGTAGGACACGAAACTCGCCTCCGATATCGCAGTGGCAGGTATGATCAGATGGTTCAGTGCAGGCCGCTGCTTTCAGCTCTCCGTTCAATGCGACTGAGACTTGGTTGACAGCCGACCAACCTCCAGGAAAACGTCCCGCGTTTGCTCACGGTTCTACTGGGTGACTACGTGCTGATCAACCATACAAGCGAACAAAAAATTCAGCCTTCATGTACTGGTCGTAATGCTGAAATAAGACGGCAATGCTGATAGCGCACCATGACGAAAGAGTAGGGCCCCGTTTAGCCCTTGGGGTAGGATTGGGAGTGAGCTAGGATTGTTCCCAAACGCCTTCGTAGCCACTCACGCCCCACTCCCATCAACCCCATTCACGGGGAGAGTACGAAGATTTTGGCAGGCCAAACCCAGACGGGGCCTAACGTCCCCACTGCCCATGGTTTACGGCGGAGGGGCGCTATCGCGAGTATAGCTTAATATGTGCGTCAGAGTTGCTGTAACGGGGCATATCAGAGATGCAACTTATATCTAGAGTCGGCACGAATACACACCTGACTGAGCTGTAGCGACCATTTACAACAAGGGGTCTGGAAGAGCACGTCGTGTTGCCCATGTAACGATGACAACACTGCTTGCATGTACAATGAAACAGCACGGGGACGAAGCAGGCGGCGAAGTCACTACCATGCCATATATACCGGCAAGACATGTATTAAGTTCGCTTAGCAATGCGACAAAGCGAGTGAAGCATAAAGCATGAAGGTACAACAATAAGCACTGTAGCGACTCTGCAAGGAGATATAGGTCAGCAAGAGCGGGGGCTAGGCAATAATAGCGGGAGGGTGACTCACCGCTCAATCAGTTACAACATACTCCTACAAAAATCATTCCACCATGGATGATAGAGTCCTCCATAAATCTCAACCTGCATCAAGCACGTCAATCAATTATCCACACGTCTTCCTCGTCAGAAAATGTCAAGTCGATAACAGAGGACTCGTCTCCGCCCGACCGTGGTACGCTCGTAGACTTCTCTTGTTTTAAGGACTGGGTCGTCAATGGAGGTCTCGAACACGCGCGCTGCAGTGGGCTCTTAGTCGGACTCCCTTCCACGTCCAGGCCCGGGGCAACTTTTGCGCGTTTCAGTGCCTTAAAGTCGTTGTCATCCACAACCGTATCCGCAGGTCGCGTACGGCGGACAACAGGCACCGGACCCGGTGATCGCGGAAGGCTGGTCTCGGCCGCAAGTGGATGTGCCGCGGCCCCAGGCAAGGTCACAAAGGGACGTCGCGGGGGTCCGGTCGCGTTGTGCAGAAGACTTCCATTCAAACGGGGTGGGAGATGAGACGAAGCAGACGCACTCGATTTGTAGGCAGCACTCGGGGCCTGAGTCGGAGCCGGAGGGCGGTGCACACCCCTTGGCGCAGACCACTCCGCGAGGATATCATCGACGCTGAACACTGGGGCGTCCGTCGATGTCTGTGCCTGGGCAGCCGTGTGCCGTGCGCGGGCAAGGGCGCTGTTCGTCGTGGGGGGTATCGGCGAGGGCGGTGGTCTCTGAACGAGCGCGGGTGGACGGGACGGGCCTGCGCTGGCATTGGTGCGCTCCTGTGCCTTCCTCCTTTCGTTCAGCCTAGGCAAGCGGGGTCCGTCACGCTGACCGGAGCCACTGTGATCAGGTCCGGCGCAGTTGCCCCAGAAGTGTTGGGGCTCCTCCCATTGAGATAGATCAACGTCGAGGGGTATTGGTTGGAATCGGCGCGGGATGGGGCGTTGGTTGGGTAGGCGCTGGTTGCAGATCTCAGGGACAGTGGTGGAAGAACAATGGTGAGGCAGAACGTACACTGAGGATAAACTTGCACACTTTGAAACCGCTCTTGCCTGTGGCCATCCATGCCTGTGGAAAAGGCTTACGCAGTTAAGGCGTGTGGACGGCGCTACGTCGAATGTGTACTTACCTGCTCTACCTCGTACAGTCCATCATAGCGGAAGCCTTCAAGAGGCGCGTAGTCCGAGTCCGAGTTGTAACCCCTGATTACGCGTACTGGTCTCTTATTGTGCGCAGAGAGGCGGAGTGACTGGTTTCTGGAGTTGTCGAAGGTTTGATCGCAGGTTTGAGGCCCGTCTCTGGGCTGGGAGGATAATGATGAGGGGTTGTAGTGGACGCACGCGTGAAGCGACAACATACCTTCTCACCATCCGCCTTGTCGCGACCTCCACATCCAGTGTATGTACTATACGCGAAGAAGAACTCGTTTTCAGTGGGGTTCACAGCAAGGGGAGGAGAGACACTCACAAACGGTCCCCTTCATCCTTGTCATCCTCGTACCCGCCCGATAGCACGACACTGTAGCACCCCTCGTCTTTGCTCCCGTTTATACCCGCTTGGATGTTCGCATGGACAGCCGTATGGTGAAGGTAAAGTCTACGTAGGTTGCGTATGAGCGCATAGCCGACCCCAATCCGAGGAACTCACCGGTTCTCGAATGTGGAACCTACGGGAACACCTGGAATGTCTCCAAAGACGTTGCTGAGATCGTGAAATCGAGTGCAACGGCAACGAGGTGCGCGGGGACGATTGAGTGTCCGAGAGTGGACGCGTTACAGCATTTGACAATCAGGTGTCCGTCTGCTTGCGAGCATGTTTGGAGTACATACGATGGATACGTCCGCTCGTAGAGCGGTTTTGATTTGAAACCCATATGAATCAGATGGATACGGAGTATGCAGAGCGAGAGGTGAAGGAATAGGGAGAAGGCATGCGATGATGGTCGACAACGTTGACAACGTTGATGTTCGACTTGCCGAGCTGCCTTACATAACAAGGGTCAGGTGCTTCCTCCCTTGGTAAGTACTACTTACCACTAGTAGGAGGTCGTTCCTACCTGATTCTTGTGATACCTGATAGCCTATCCATCTCGGGTGACTTTCAGCTGGGTACTCATCTCGTTTGAGCGTCATGTAGGACCGCTTGCTCACGTCTGGTCCTCCACGCTAGCGGCTCCCGATTATTGCCACCCACTCTTTCCGCTTCCCGCAGACGCTTTCATTTGGCTAACTCATCGCGTGCATCTAGGTTATAGCTGATCAAACAAAGCGTGTTGCTTTAGCATGATGACTTCCTTCCGCGGACCCATCGAGCCATTCAGCCTCTTATGAGCCGCCCGCGCAGCTGCTCTGTATAACCGCTTAGATATGTGCCACTGCGCTTTGCACGACGAATCACCGCCAAAGCGGACTGGCAAGACTAGTATATTACTAGTGTGTTTGACTGGTCGTAATGTCTACGCCAGTATTTTCTACAGTCTTGCGAGCAAACACCTGCATCCGTGCCTTCTTCGACAATGTCGTCCCCTGTGTTCAACTTCCCGGCTGGAAATATCTGGGATGGGCTCAATGAAGCGGCCGGTATGTCCCTTTTGCAAGTCCGTGCGGTATAAACAAGACTAACTATCCATCTTAGCAAGGTGTGAGTTCGAACAGTACCCGCGACTGTATCTTACATTGCCATTCCCGTCCGATGTGGAACTCGGTTGGCAATGGCACACCAAGTGTCGTCGAGATGAAGATCGCGTGCAAGGCGATTTCTTACGCTTTGCCTTGCCCATTCCCCTGGGGCCATGCGTTCATATGCTTGGCACGCTCACCGAGTACCTCGAGGATAATCTCATCAATGGGGATCAGGATGTCGTGTGGGTAGACCCAACTCTGTACGGGAAGGAACGCGTGTATATCTCCAGAGGCCTCGTGAGTTTAACTCGCCTCCCCCCATTCGATGATTCTCCTTCACCTCCTTCACTGATGATTTTCCGTGTCCGCGGTGGAAATCCACGTCAGTTTGAGGAAGAGTCTCCAGACACCAAGCCACAGGCAGTCGTATGTAGCCTTCGGTCGGGAACCCTACGCATGGCGGAGATTCTTGGCATGATCGTTCAGCTGCAGTGGGCCACAGCGCAACGGGTCAGTTATGATCTTTCCCGGTCATCACTGTTGGCGCTGACTTTGACTTCCCTACTCGTCATCTTCACCGGGCTGCTAGATGTACGGATGGGAAGGGGCTGCGTGGCGGTTCATGAGGCTTAGGGTCACTGCTATACGACGGAGTGTCGCGAAGGACGGGACCACCAGATTCTTTCCTCAGCTGGAGGTACTGAACCCTCGTCATCCACATTGGGCTCAAAATCAACCTAGATCTTTGCTACCCGATGGATATTTGCAATGGGTTTCCAGTCGATGGTAGTCGTGCGAGGCTTCATGTACCGTATTGTACCGGCTCGTCGAATCGACGGTCTATGGCCAGGGATAGATAGTTATGAGATACAAGCTCCTTGAAAAGTCACTCTCATGTATTTTTGCGTTTATATTTAGCTAGGGCGGCGTGAATGGACGGCCCGCACTTTACTGACAGATCGGACACTCCGGGCCGGATAAGGCGCATTGAGCGCCCTAGCGGATACATAGCTGTAGCGCGTAAATTACGTGCCTGAAACTTCTTCTCTACTATACACAACAGCAATGTAAGTTTTCGCGATTTGGTCTCTCTCGTTCGAGACTGTGAGGCTACTGACCATATTGCGTCTTGATCTACAGGTTACATGTCTTAAATAATGACGTTCTCCTGTGCGTCGTAGACCATCTTGAGGCGACGTCCCACAGTTTGATCCCGCTTTCTTCCACATGTCGACTACTCCGAGATGTCTGCCGACCCCTCATTTTTCGTCATCTCACACGAAGGCTGGCGAATGAGGTCAGTGACTCTGAGTCTTTCTGCCCCTCAACGGTGTCGTGCCTCATCCAGTACGTCCGAAACGGCTTTTGAACCACAGGGCTATGAATACTGACGTTTCCGCGTACAGATCTCTAATTATAGTGGACTGCTGCGTACAACAAGAGGAAGGGCTGAAAGCACTATTCTCCCAGCAGGGAGAGCTACTGGAAGATGGTTCTGTCAGGGTCTCCGAGGTGCCATTCCTCTGTGATCACCTCGATGGTCCGGAGTTGATGCACGCTTTACGCCGCATGCCGGCTCTACGCCACTTAACGCTCGCCTCCTCCAAGGGCGGGATCCTCCATGGTGTGCGGTGGCGCGCCCTCAAGGCAGTACTTTCTCTGCCTCAGTTGACAGAAATATCACTCCCCGGCTTGCTATTCTCTCCACTCTTGCCAGATGATCTCCGTGCCGACGACCTCGTATGCCCGCACCTCCAGCACATCAAGACATTCCGCTACGAAGTGCCTTCCTTCCGCGTCTCAAGCTGGGGGACGCGCGAACGTTACCCTTTCCACTCCGAGGAAGAAATGCTCTGTCGCGTTCTCGAGAGACTGCGCCACTCCGTCGAGATGCTCGCTCTTTCGTCCGAGCCTGCTCCCATACAAACGATGGCGCAGTGGCGATGGCCCAAGTTGCGGGAGCTCAAGCTCACGGGGGAACGTTGGGCTGAACCTCTCACTCCGGTCGTCTCGCTTTTCGCCAAGATGCCTCATCTCCGCAAGCTCGCCTTGGAGCTCACGCTGGTGCGCGGGCAGCTCTCGCAAGTTCCACCATTGTGGCCGCGTGGATACATTGGGGCATTTCCGTGGCCTAACCTCACCCATCTCTCGCTCTCGCATCCTCACCCTGAGGATGAGCTGTTCACGAACCTACCCTCGGCGCTCCGCTCGCTATCTCTATGCTGCCATCCGCACAAGTGGCAGAAGCTCTTATTGGGCGGCTCCGGGACTGTCCACCACCGATATAAATACGTGGTCTTGGACTCGTCGAAGATGCTGATTATATTGAGTCGGTGCCGGACGCCACAACTGACGCATCTGGAGCTCGAGTACAACGCTGACGAGGGCGAAAACGACTTGCTGAGATACCTGGCAGCGTCATTCCCTCTCTTGACGTCTCTACAGGTCCATCGATATAGAGCTATCAACAATTCTCAGGCCCAGGCTATGGTGAGTACAAGCATAGTCGGATCCACTGTGTCTTCCAGAATCGACCCACAACATGTCGTACGATAGATCACTGGTGCGAGAACCATTGACGACGTCAACTTTCAGGCTGTTGTGAGTCATGCCTATCGCTTATCACCTTCGTTTGGCCTTCCATTGAAACTTCACGACCTCCCTACAGGATGACTTTGGCCGCTCGCTATCTGAGCTCACGCACCTCCGCACGCTCAAGGCGTTCCTGGATTACGAAGATACTCCCCGACCGAGATTCACCCAGCCGCGCATGTCGGGCTTTGGATACTCGAGGGAAGACGCCAATACGTTTACTGCTACCCTGCACAGAGCGGCGAGCGTCTTGTCTCGGGCGATGAGCGATGCGGTCAGGCATATCTGTTTGTGGCGGCCGCGAGGTATAGATGGGTATGAGTGGCTCGTATTTCGCATCGTACGTGGCGGATTGGTTACCGGGCTTGAGGTACGATGCGAGGAGGACTTGGAACATACTCAGAGGTGACCGGCCACAGATGCGTCCGGATGCAAGATACTAGTATCAATTCCCGCAAGTCGTGCGAACCCTAATGTCAAAGATTTAACAAACGCGTTCTCGCATGTTGTTAGCAATTTTGCTGCTCTGAGCTTGGTTGCTGCCCAAATGCCGGAGTAAGTGGCGGCGCATGACGAAACGGCCCGACTGGCCTGCGTTGCGGTGGCGTGGGAGATCTTTGTTTAGGGCAAGACGTCTCGATGACTGCCGAGCGGTTATAACAAACCGCACGAGAAGTGACCCGAGCCCGCAGGCTGAGCCAAAACATGGCTCATAACAGGTACCGGGTTCTGTTGGAATCTGTCCATCATCTGAGCACTGACGAAAATATGAGCGAAGCATATTCAAGCTCGACGTCGACATCCTCGACTACATATTCCAAATCCTCCGGCCTGCTCGCGGCCTGCGCTCGCTATCCTCCACTTGTCGAGGGCTGAGGACGCTCAGTATGCCTGTACTGTTCAAGAGTTGTGTCGTAGATGTTTCAAGACCCATCACCATCTCCCACTTTCTTCCGTCATCTCTATGGCCATTCGTGAGGTGCGTGAATCCGACGGTATACTGAAATTCCGATAATGACATGTCGGTTGCGTAAGCTCCCTTCATATTGTGGATAAATGCTCGGATATTCGAGCCATGAGGTTCCAGGACGATCTTCATTACACTGTTGATCCATTGATGTGCGGCGTCCTGGATGGCGCTTTTTTAAAGGATGCCCTACGGGAGATGCCTCGGTTGCGTTCTGTACACGTCGGGTTTATATGGAGAGAGGACCATGGCCTTGGCTGGAGTGTCATTGACGCCATCTTATCCGTGTCTCAGATACGCGAGTTCACGATCAGGTCATACCTGTTCTGTCCGCGAGAGGCTCCGGCACGTCGTGTCGTTCCTCTCAACCCTTCGGCTCACCTTACGACCTTCAATTATGCAAGATACGCTTCTCGCTCTCAGCTTCATGCAGACGTGCAGCGTGCCGCGTTGGGCGTCGTTATTGGCAGCCTCAGGTCCTCCCTCGAACACCTCCGTCTCCCCAGCGACCTCTCTCCCATCTCGACGTTCAGATCTCTCTCTTGGACACGGCTGCGCGAGCTCAGACTGGATGGTACCTATCCGTCTAACATCGATGCGCCTTTGCTGGACATCATATCAGGGATGCCCCGATTGCGCAGCCTTGCGCTTCTATTTGCCTTGCCCAGGGATATGGAAAAGCGACCTTTGTGGCCGCCCAGATGCACTCTGCATTTCCCCTTTCCCGAGCTCGAGGAGCTGGTCGTCTCCTATCCTGATCCCGAAGACTACCTGTACTCGCATCTACCTCCCTCCCTTCGACGCCTGTCGTTTCGGTGTTGTCCTCACCATTGCCTACATGTTTGGGAGCCAGCCTGTTGCATGCGCTGGCACTCTCCCATACTACCCGCGTCCGATCTTCTTCGCATTCTGTCGAGCATCAAGGCCCCTGTGCTCCAGCATCTCCAGTTGGAGTACGTCGCGGATCACGCAGATGCTGCACTGTTAGGCAGCATTGCAGCTTCATTTCCCAGGCTTTCTTCCCTAGAGATCCATCGCTTTCGACAGGTCGACAATTCGAACGTGTCGATCGTACGTACCTCGTGTCCTCAGTAAGTCGCCAGCTGATAAAGTGTGCGCAGGAGGATATCGCTCTCGCTATGGCAGGCCTGCATCATTTGCGTACGATTAGCCTTCACCTAGACTTTCCAGATATCCCAGGACCAAGCTACTCGGTGCGGAGGGGAATAGAGTACTTCAGTGATCAGGCTGTCGTCAACCAGAGGAGGATACTCACCGTTCATGCCACTGCCATAGCGCACGCCCTTGGTCTGTCCGGTTATGATATCCGGCTGATGGGAAGGGGTAATACAGGTGGCGAGTGGTCCCTATTTCATATCTCGGAAGGTGAAGGCGCTCTGCGGGTTGAATTTGATTCCGATTATTGCGAGGTATGTTTGCGAGCGACAAGAGAATATGTTGGCTCATGTGTTGACAGGTGGTCAGCGCGGACATATTTGACACGTCATGGAAGATGTAATTTAGGAGGGTACAATGGTACAGCTCCCTTGATGCTAGTGGCAGAGGGTGTCAAATCTTGTACCGCCGGCGAGCGTAGTATGTCAGGCTCGTCAGATGACAAGAACATGATTAGATGGTAGTATATTCCTAACACACAAGCTTCAAGGGTCTGCGTTCGCAATCTCCTCTATACGACTCCCTGAACTACCAAGAAAGATAGAAGCAAAGCCGGTTTCCGGATTGGTGGCGTTGTGTACGAAGCTCTTCAGTAGTTCGTCTCCTTTGGCAATGCGAACGCTTTGAGATCGCTCTCGTGATTCTCTGGCCACTGTGCTGCCAGTCGAACATGGTGCCAACCGTTTTCTGCCTTCGACATAGCAACAAACATACTCTGAAAGAAGTTCTGGTGGGAGTACAGTCAACCAACCGCACATACGATTAGATTAGTGGCACTCACCAGCCCAAGAATACCATGCTTTTTATCTTCCACCATCGGGAAAATGAGGCCTTCAAGACGATTGTTCTCTCCTGCGCCAGGGAGCATTTCATCCAGATACACGAACGTCTCGGTGGGTCCATAGACGATGATCGGTGGTTCATCAGGGTCGCCTCCAAATTCGAACTTGACCTGAGACTTGTTAGCCAAGACCCATGTGGAAACATGATAGGTTTCCCTGCGGTTTGGATCTCTGCTCGGTTTGGGGACCGTAGTTGTCCTCCTACCCAAAACCTCATGCAACCGTTGAATAGCATTTTGCGGAAGCTCGGACGTGCTACAGCCTAGTGCTCGTCTCGTTAGTCGATATATCGAAAAGACCAATGAACTATCGGACCTGTGTCAATCAGCATCTCCAGACCGTCAGGACAGTCGTTATTGACGAAGTTCAAGTGCAAGTAAGGCGTAGTGTCCTCGGATAATACCGGACGTTGCCTCTGGGCCGGGACACGCTCGACCGTCAGGCTTCGTAGCCGTACAATCCAAGCAGGAGGGGCATTCGCCCTGCGGCCAGTGTGACTGATTACGTCTATTGTCCTTGACCAAGGAGGCTGCGTCGCGAATGGCCACGTATTGAATGCCATCCACGAATCTCTTCATATGTACGGTTAGTCACACGTGACGACAGTATAAGGTCGACTAACATGGCACGCTGACGAGCGGGATAACACGTGTAGTACTGTGGTGGGAGGCGCAGCACAAAAAACATAGAAATGCCAATGAAGTCCTGTTATTGCTTCAGCACGAGAAAGACGTGACCAGTAGCTTCCGATACATACCACTTGATGCCGATTGATTTTGGTGGACATCACGTGAAGGAAGCTCTGCGACATGACTTCCATGAGCAACGATACAAGAGTGATTGCTGCCGATGGTCTCGTCACTGACAGGTTGACCGCGCCCGACGCGGAGATAAGTACTAGTAGTCAGCAATCAGGGTCATGAGTCGTCTGCGAAATCCGGAGAAGAATAGTGAAACGTACTCGGAAGGCGCAACACCTAAGACTCCATCGCTAGGGTCTCGTAAGAGCTCAAACGTCGCCGAAATCGCACCGAGAAATCGCATGTCGAAAACAAGGTCATATTTTTGGTTTCTCCCAGCGAGTCCATCAAAGGCTTTCAGACTGCATCTGAATAGAGGTCCCAAAAGGCACACCTCTTGAAAGAACACGGTCAAGGATGTTCCTCCATTTGATTGAAATATTCCAGACGTACCAGCCATTGTCTCATCGGCATAACGTAAGCGGCCAAAGGGAGCCAGATCACGCAGCCTCTCATTCGAGAGATCGCCCTTGCACAATTGTCTCTCAAATCCAGAATAGTAAGCATATGGAGAGAGAACTGGGTGATTCGTTAGTCCTTTCTCCATTCCGGTAAGAGGTTGGCGAGAATATTTAGGCGAACGCTCTTCTCCCTTCGTGAGAAGCATGTAGTCTTCTGCGAAGCAAAACCTGAAATGACGGCTGTGAGTCAAGAGACAGCAGATCGACAATGAAGACCATACGCTTCTGTGTCGCCTGGTCAATGATACAGTCAACCTCTCATGGCCATCTAAACAGACATATACTACGTACCAGTGTCGATCAAAAGACAGAAGATACTGCTTTTCTCGGGTACATCATCAGGTTGGTTCCAAATTTGCTAAGGCGGAGCGTTAGCAAAGAACAAATCGATGCGACGACTAAGCGTACAATTTTGGTAGTGTAGCCTTGACCTGCAACGAACTAGGTCATCATAGGGTGAAACCGAACTCTGGATGGGTTTACTGACTTGAAATTGGATAATGAGTATCCAGCGGCTTGTGGCTTTGACGAATGGTTGCATCCCGCGGCCTGAAAGGTGTCGATGCATGAGGGTATGGCGCGCGGTTCCGATATCCAGTACTGCTGAGGTCTTCATCCATCTCCTCATCTTTAGCGAGCGCAAGCGCGAGAAGAGAGGTCTCGGGAGCGGTGTCCTGCGAACACATCGAGTTTACGAGGTACGAGGATACGAATAGCAGTGGCGAACTCACAGTCGGGGTGGTGGGCGGGGAACTAGCTGGAATCGACTCCGTATCGGAGTCTTGGATCACTAACGCAGGGGGAATGAGCTTCCCAGAGTCATCGCTAGGATCCTCAGGTCCTGCAAGGAGTGGATGTATACGTCCATGCCGTCCGCGCATGGCGCTCCAGGCAAACTGAGAGATGGATGATGAGTCGGTACCCAAGGGGTATTCTGCCAGTCATGACCTGATTACGTACACGTTGTTCCGCTGATGCTGGTCCAGGGGCTTGGAGTCGGAGGACTATCGACTCGCGTCCTCCCAAGCCAGGTATGGTGAAAGGGGAACTTGTAGTGAATTCCATGGTGTTGAACTTGGACTTATCCGGTCCGGACTACACGAGGCTATGCGTCTCCTAGCGCTTAGCTGTAGTCGCTTATGTAGTATGTTACCATATTTGGGACTCTCTGCTCGTGTACTATAGCTATGCTTCCGGACTCTTCTGGTACTGTCTAGGACAATCTGTACTACTCC